TGGGCTATGCATCACTGCGTCTGTTTTGGGGATGGAGGAGGCCTGCTTTTGATTTTCATGAATACGCACACTAGTAATTCGTGTGATGCTAACGTGAAGTGCGAGACGGGTCACAGAATCTTCCCCATGAGTCAGTCATCCGTGCAGCGACCGGTCTGGGCACCGTGGAACCCCACACTGCACCTCCCGGTGTGGTCAGCAGGGGGCGCAGCAGCTGCACTCGTACCTGTTCTACCTGCTCCCCCCTGGAGGGGTTGCCCAGCGTGGACGAAGGAAGGACGGGGTACCTGCTCGCAGGGCTCTCCGCTGCTGCGTTTTCTAGCAGAAGTGCAAGTTCAAAGGCAGGGCCAGGGGCTCTCCAGGGTGTCTCCACCTGGCCTCTTTCTTCCTGCCCGTTAAGGTCATATAACATTTCGTCCACCAAAGCTTGAGAAACATTTGGAGTAGAGCAACAGGAAGGGTGAACTTTTTAATGCGGGGGCACGCGTGGTCCGGAGTTGGGGGGTATCCCAGCTCCAAATCATTGGCCGCTCTTGCTCTGCATGCTGTAGAATCGTGGGTTCACTGGGCTCCGCAGACCTTGGAGATGCAAATTCAAGTGCCCCCTCTTCACCTACCAAAGACTCAGCATTTATCAACTAGAAGAGCCCGGACTAACTTCCGGGGCTCCTGGGGTTGACTGCACTTGGGGTGACCATGGTAACCCCCCCGCCACAGCTGTTGCTGAAGGTGGGAGGGGGGTACTGACTTGTTCCGGGAAACATGAAAACCTTGAGACACTCTAGTTGCTTTGGAAATGTCTGTAGAATTGGTCATATACTCACTTTCTTAAACATAGCGTCCTCTTTTCCTGTTCATGCATTGATGGTCTCCGTGAGTGAAGGCAGGAAGCTGAACGTTTTCCCAAGTGCAGCCTTCTCTGTTTTTCACAGAAATAACACCCCAGCTGCATAGACACCTGCGGGGCCTCAGCATCTGCTTCCCCAGAGATAACTGGAGATTAGTAGTAATTTATTGGAGTCAGGATGTTGAAACACATTCCCCGCACAGCCTCCCATTTTGGGGGGCCCTGACCAGTGTGGCTCAGTGGGTTGGGCATCGTCCTGCAAAGTGAAAGGTCTCGGGTTCAATTCCCACTCAGGGCACATGCCTGGGTTGCGGGTTCAGTCCCTGGTCGTGAAGCATATGAGAGACAAGCAAACAATCGATGTTTCCGTTCACCTCAATGTCTCTCTCCTTCTCGCTGTCCCTCCTTACCCCTCTCTCTGGCTCTGTGATGCCCAGTAGCCAAAGAAAACACGGTTTTCATCTCTAACATCTTTTTTACAGCACAGTGAGTTACTACTACCAATAGTAGTGGTAACTGGTGAACAGGTAACTTATTTTTAGAAGAAATAGCCGTAAGCAGAATCACTAGTTAAATCTCGGGATTTGAGAAACAGAACTTTCCCCAATATAGATTCTTATTTATCTTCGTTACAGCGAGTCGCCGGAGTTAGGTATGCAATTGTGCTTCTATGATTACATAACTCGGGTGATGAAAGGGAAAAAGGAATTACTTGCTCATGAGTGAGGCACTTTGAGATTGTGCGGGGAGGTGCCGGCATTCCGGGCCGCCTTCTACTCGGTGGTTAATCACTGTGCTCACAGCCAGTTCTCACTGTGCGTTTACACCTGCTTTCTTTCACTTGTTTTTTTTATTGGGGTAAAATGTGCGCACCGTTTGAACCACTTTTAAGCTTGGGGTTCTGTGCTGTTGATTTTATTGTTGTATAGCCGCCACCCCCATCCTCTCCTGAACTTTTTATCTTCCCCAACTGTGTATCTGCTGTAAAATAAGTGGACTTGGCCCTGGCTGGTGTGGCTCCGTGGGTTGGAGTGTCATTTTGTAAACCAAAGGGTTGCGGGTTCGATTCCCAGTTAGGGCACGTGCCTGGGTTGTGGGTTTAGTCCCCAGTCGGGGTGTGTATGAGAGGCACCTGATTGATGTTTCTCACACTGATGATTCTCTCACATTGACCTCTCTCTCTCCAAGCAATAAGCATGTCCCCAGGCGAGGATAAAAAAAACAAAATAAAATAAAATCCCTGGAGTTAGCATGCTCAGAGTAGAAGGCTGCACTGGACCCTCTGACTGTGTCCAGCCTGCAGGAGGCAGGGTTGGCTGCTGGGTGACAAAGTCCTGACCTTGAAGAAGCCGGTTTAGAATGCGGCAGACAGGCAGCCGGGCAGACGGACGGCTCACTAAACTATTTCACACATGGGGGTGTTATTCCATTGCCGAGTAAGTCAGAAACAATTGATACAGGTAGAACTTTCTCATCTGAAAGACGTGCCCCAGCGGGGAAAGCCTTTCAAATAAAAAACCTTAGAGGCGGCTGCTGTATCAGTTGCTCGCACTGCAGTAACAAAACAGCACAGACCGGAGAGCTTAGCCAGGAGACCGGTTTTCCCACCGTGCAGGAGGGTGGGAGTTCAAGGTCGAGACGTCCGCAGGGTGGCTTCCTTCGGAGGCCTCTTTCCTTGGCTTGCAGACGGCTGCCTCCTCCCTTTTTCTTCTCGCGGTCATCCCTCTGCCAGCGTCTGTCCAGATGTCCTTGTCTCACAAGGACACCAGTCAGCCTGCATTCGGGGGCTAGGGTATTGACAGATGAACTTTGGGGGTGCAGGTGGGGAAACATACCTCCACCCAGCCCTAAAGATGCCTCCAGTTCCAAAAAGCCTCCCTGGTTGCAGAGGAGGCAGGTGAAGGCAGGCGTCCGGGGCACGGTCACAGGTGCCCGGGGCGCGTGGTTGTCGGTGGCTCGCTGCAGCCAGTGCGGCACTCCAGTCCCAGAGACGGAAAGTCCTACCGCTTCTGGGCCGAGGGCATTACGTTTGGCTCAGAAAGAACCGTAAACAGATGGACCGTTTTCCGGCTCCCCTCCTCGTCTGCCAAGAACAGTTCTGGCGTGCTCTGGAACTCGCTCGGTTCCCGGCCGTCCTAGACGCGCTATCGGCCCTGCAGACAGCGGCCAGCTGGCTTCCGGATCACCCGCACAGGTTGCAATAAACACAGGGCAGCTCGAAGCAAAGCCTCACTGTGGGGAGAGCCCAGGAGGCCACTGCAGTCCAAGGAGAGAGGACGGATGGCTAATTAAAATTCAAGAAGAGCCGTCCTGAGCACCAGAGGGTCGTGGGTTCGATCCCCAGTCAGGGCATGTACAAGAGACGACTGATCAATGTTTCTCATATCGATGTTTCTCTTTCTCTACCTCTCCTCTTTTCCCTCTCTCTCCCTTTCACTCTCTCTAAAATCAATAAAGCATAACCTCGGGCCAAGATTAAAAACAAAATAAAATATGCCCTGGCTGGTGTGGCTCAGTGGATTGAGCACAGGCCTGCGAACCACAGAGTCGCTGGTTCATTCCCAGTCAGGGCACGTGCCCGGGTTGCAGGCCAGGTCCCCAGTAGGGGGCGCACGAGAGGCAACCACACACTGATGTTTCTCTCCCTCTCTTTCTGCCTCCCTTCCCCTCTAAATAAATAAATAAACTAACTAACTAATTAACCAGTTAAAATAAAATAAAACACAAGAAGAGCTTTTTAAAATGGCATTGCAGTTCCAGCTATTGAATTGAGCTGACATCACCCAGCAAGTCCCCCCTTTCACGTACATGATGCCCCTGGAAACAGTCGGAATGACTTCTGACTAGTTCCCGAGACCGCCGTGCTCTGCGCGGAGGAGGGCACTCTCATGGCACTCTCATGGCGGAGCGAGTGGTTGTGACCTGGGGTGGTGTCACCGATATCGGTGCCATTTCTGTGACGTTTTTAAGATTTTATTTATTTATCTTTAGAGGGGAAGGGAAGGAGAGGGGGAGAGAAATATCAATGTATGGTTGCCTCTCATGGGTTCCCTGCTGGGAACTGGCCTGCAACCCAGGCATGTGCCCTGACTGGGAATCGAACCAGCAACCCTTTGGTTCACAGGCCTGTGCTCAATCCACTGAGCCACACCAGCCAGGTCCCATTTCTGTGACTTTTAATCACTTGCACTTCTTCTGCAATAAGCTCTTGTGAGCACAGACGGCTCCACTGCCCCCCCCCCCCCCCCCCCCGAGCTGTGACACTGTGTGGAGAGAAGACTGACAAGCTCGGTCAAAGGGGGCTGATGATAAAGCCCTTTCCTCTGTACTAAAGGCTTACGCTCTGAATTCCCTCCGGTCTCCTCCTCCCCGCCCCTGTTCCTCTCTCCACCCCAGTCTCTTCTTCACCCGACATATCTGTCAAAGGCTAGATTCTAAACAAAAGGCTTTCTTTGCTCATTTCTTTTTCATTGAGCAGAAGAATACAGAGGTTGGCGTACCCACTGGCGGTTTAAATGTTTTTCATCGAATACCTGTGAAGGATTTTTAGCGCACCTTGAGAAATGCCTCAGGATACGTTTCTTCTCCAGGTGGAATTTGCTTCTCCAGTAGGAAGTGGGGAGATACTGATCGACCCCCCAAAATGCAGCCACCCCTCCCTCTCACTAGCGGCTTCCTTTGCTCTGACCTCAAGTCCTGTTAGTTTGCATCGTGCTCTGAGCTCTGCAGCTTCCTCACTCAGCAGCCGTGCTCTCCAGTGATGAGTGATCATTCCCGATAAAAATGGAGGTGCAGCCTGGCTGGTGTGGCTCAGTGGATTTAACGCTGGCCTATGAACCAAAAGGTCGCACGTTTGATTCCCCATCAGGACACATGCCAGGGTTGCGGGCCAGGTCCCCAGTAGGGGGCGCATGAGCCGCAACCAGTCGATGTATCTCCCACATTGATGTTTCTCTCCCTCTCTTGCTCCCTCCCTCTCTCTCTCTCTAAAAACTAAATAAACAAAATCTTTCTTTAAAAAATGGAGGTGTAGGCGCTGAGCAGTCTCCAATTTGGGGCTCCCCTGCCAGGGGTGCACCCCAGAAAGGCGAGGGCCCTGGGACAGAGCAGTCTGAGCCCCAATTTCTCTAACGCGCCCGTGCTGTCATTCTAGGTCTCCGAATTTGACCCTTTGACCTTCACCAGCGTCATCGAGTGTGAGAAGCCGAACAACGACCTGAGCAGGTTCCGTGGGTGCATGTGAGTGTCATCTGTCGTCTTGAGCTTGTCCTTCTGTTTGACAGATGCTATACAGAGTCCACAGTTGACCTTGAACAACACGGGGTTAGGGGCGCTGGCCACCGCCACGTAATGGAAAACCCTCGTATAACTTTGACTCCCCAGAAAGTTAACCAGTAATAGCCAGCTGTTGACCAGAAGCCTTACCCATAACATACACAGTGTATCGACACATATGTTGTATGTTATATGTGTTAGCATACTGCACTCTTACGATAAAGTGGGAGGAAAGCAATGCTGTAAGAAAATTATACAGACGAGGAAATAAATTTACAGCATTTATTGAAAAAAAATCCACGTGTAAGTGAACTCACACATTTCCAATCCGTGTTGTTCAAGAGTCACCTGTTTGCACACAGAGTTCTAAAATAAGCATTTGCTGTTCTTCGCTGCATTTGTAGCCCTTCAGGAGAGGTGCCCAGCTTGGTGGCTCACAGGACTGGTTGGTAAGATTCTGTCAACGCTAGAAACTTCCCGAAGTGTCTGCAGGGAGGGGGTCTGGCTTAGCTCCTTCAGCAGCCCTGGGAAAGGGTGGGGGAGGGGCGGGGCAGACCACTCGGAGCTGGGACGAGGGTGGCATGGGGAGCTGGCAGCGCAGTACAAGGCGGCTGGAACCAAAAGCCGGCAGAGCAGGCCAGGGGCAGCAGCACCCTGCAGGCAGTGAGCGGCTCCCATGGGATGCTCCCAGGAGAAAGTGGCATTCAGATGACAGGAGGGACCAAGGCTCGTGGCGACAGGGCCAGGAAGGGGTGTGTGGCAGGTGGTTGGCCACCCGAAGGCTGAACGAGGTCAGTTCTGCACGGAAAGAGCGAGGAGGGGAAGACTCGGAAACAGCCCAGCAGGAGGTGAAGATAGAGGGCTGCTGTTTGAATGGATATAAAAACTAGGGAGGAGGGGTCAGAAGGCCCCCGAGGATGCTGGTCCCAGTGACTGGGGGGGGCCATGGAGCCCACCCAGGTCTCTGGGTGCTGGAGGCAACATGACCACCCGGAAGAGGGTCGGCTGCAGACTGTGAAACCTGTGGCCCTGGAGGGGACCCGGTGGCAGTGAGCACACCTTGCACCTCCTGTTTAAACACCTGCCATCACCTGCGGCCACTGTCAGCACCTGTGAGTGCCAGGACTCAAAACAGACAAGCGCTGGCATGCAGGACCCATCACCAAGAGCAGCTGCTGCCAGGGAGATGTAGCATCTGTGAGAAAGACCATCCCGGCCGCCGCCCTGTACCAGCTGAACTCTGCCTCTTCCCAGTGGGCCTGCGTCCTGCATCTGCTGACGGCCAGGACATGTCACCAGGGAGCCCTGCCGTCATGCTGTACTTCTGGACAGTCTTGATTTAGAAGGGACTGGTCTGAGGGGGTCAGAGGCCTCTCAGTGGCTGGGGTGAAACATGAAAGGTCGTACCCACTTGCTCAGGCTGACCGCAGATCGAGCAGCTTAAACCACAGCAATTAATTGTCTCTGTTCCGGAGGCTAGAAGTCCAAGGTCCAGGGGTCAGCAGGACAGGTGTCTTCTGAGGCCTCTCTCCTTGGCTTGTAGACGGCCGTCTTCTTCCTGCATCTTCACATGGTCACGACCTCTATGCTTGTTTGTCTTTGTGTCCAAACTTCTCTTTCTTATAAGGACCCCAGTCACATAAAATCAGGGCCCATTCATTGACCTCATTTTAAGCTGATTACCTCTTCAAAGACCTAACTGCAAATAGAGTTCTATACTGAGGGACCAGGAGTTCAATGTCAACATAGGGGATTCTGCCTGGCAGGCACAGGTCAGCCCAGAAGAAAGTGGTAGGCAGCTTGATAGCTTTATATTCTCCTGTGAATCTTTCTGGGATCTGCTCGTGCCTGCTTGGTCTCCGCCCTCGGCGGGACTCTCCTGTCACAAGTTCAAGGTGATGGTCAGCTGCCGAGCGCCTGCTGGGTGCCTCAGTTTCTCAGCCGTCTGGCTGAGGCCTGGGCTCCTTCCCTTCCGCTTCTGACACGGGGATTTTCCCTCAGGACTGTGACCCTGGGAACAGTGGATTTGTCCCCTGGCATCTGCCACCCAGTGGCTGTGTCCCTCATCACTGGCAAATGAGTTCCGGTGTGACTCAGTCTGAATGAGAAGCACAGTGGTTGTATGACCCTGTCACATCAGAGAAAGCTTAACATAATAGCTTTCTAGTTTCTATCGGGCTTGTCTCTTGTTCTGAGTACCCGTGACTGGAACTTTGATGGAGAGGATGTGTCCTTTACTGAGAAATAATTTTCAGGTCTGGCCGTCAGGGAGAAATAATTATCCGCCCCTGAGAAGTAATTTTCACGTCCGGTTGTCACACACTGAGAGTGCCGTGGTGGCGGACAGTCTGGCACTCCAGACGATGGCACAGGGTCTCAAGTCCAGTGTCACGTAGGCTGGTCTCTGCGATGCTTTTCGCTGGCCATGAGGTGCTCAGGCTTAAATGGCTTTTGAAAGCAAATTCTGACTCTGTCCGGACTTGCCAACGGGGGTCGTTAATGGTGTTGAAAGGGTACCTCCTACATGGTGCCTTCCACAGAGGAACGAAGGTGAAGGTGCTACCTAACAGGCTTGCGGAAGACGCGTCCCCAGTAGCCTTCTGGCCTTGACTTTAGCTTCTCTGTTGCACTGGGAAATATACTCGTTTCCCTGCTTGTGAAGAACACGGGTTGCGTCTGAGGCCAAGAGTCAAACCTGCCCTCGTGCCGGTGACCAGGTGCTGGGTGTGACAGGAAGGGCTTGTCCCCCGATCTGCTCTGGGGTCCAGGCCAAGGGCACCGTTCAGGGAGATGGTGAGCTTCGAGGACCACAGGGGAGCTCTGGCTGGTGTGGCTCAGTGGATTGGGCACCGGCCTACGAACCCAAGGGTCACTGGTTCGATTCCCAGTCAGGGCACATGCCTAGGTTGCGAGCCAAGTCTCCAGTAGGGGGCGCACAAGAGGCAACCACACATTGATGTTTCTTTTCCTCTCATTCTCCTTCGCTTCCCCTCTCTCTAAAAATAAATATTTTTAAAAACACTGAGGCTGTGGTGTTGGGGAGGGGTAGCCAGGACTATCCACTGAAGGTTCGAGAAGGTGGCTTCTTGAAAGGCCCCCCTGGTGTAGGTTAGTCTGGGCCCCGATTTGAGAAGTCTCCAGGGCCTTCCACTGTGACCTGCTCATCAGGCTCCTTGGGGCATGCCTGTCTCAGTGTGGTCCAGCATGGTGACAATGTGGCCATCCCTCGTGTGCCAGAAGGAGGAGTTGCAAATCCAGTGGCTTAAACAGGGACTGTCCCTCTGACTCTAACTTGCCATGAAACCAAATTTAGAAAATTACCTCATGAGATTTATGACATTTCAAATTTAATGCATTAACATTTCCGGTAACGTTATGACTTTGTAGGAGAAAATGGGATGTAGAAAATGTTGCTGAAGCCAATCCCATTCTGCTTCAGAGGAATATTTGTATGTCTGTAACTAAGGTACCAAGTAGCAGGGGTCTTCTTGGTGGTGGGTTGGTAGTCAGCTCCCCAGTCAGTCCCACGTTCCCAGGTCTGCCTCTCTGGCTGTGGCATGTCCCCGAGGTCACAGCAAGATGAAATCCTGACACCCAGTTCTGATGAGAGGTTTCCCCACTCAGCCCCGACACTGTCCGCCTGGAGTTGGCGCAGACCCAACAGCTTCCGAGCTCAGTCTGACACACGGTCCCCACCTGAGAGGCCAGTGCCAGTCCCAAATCCAGCTTGTCCCCTGTGCTTCTGACCAAGCAGAGTTCCCCACGACCTCCTCCTCCTCCTCGGGTTCAGTTACTTTGCTGGAGTGGCTCACAGAACATGGGAAAACAGTTTCCTGTTTGACGAAAGGAGGTGATGAAGGGTTTAGATGAACATCCAGAGGAGACGTGTAGTGCAAGGCGCCTGGGCAGGGGCGGGGAGACTCCCACTCTCCAGCTGCCCCGCGTGTTTCATGGAAGTCTTTCTGCTGAGCAGCCCACACCCACAAGCCCACCCAGAGTCACCTTATTAGAACAAAAGACACTCACATCACCCAGGAAATTTCAGGGCATTTCATAGTCTATGTCAGGAACAACCAGCATCAAAAGCCAAGTGTTAGGACAAAAGGTGCCCTGGGTACTGTTACCATGCAGGAAATGACAAGGGTTTGAGTTGCTCTGTGCCGGGAACTGAGATCAAAGACCAAACATTAAAACAAAAGCTCTTCCTCGCACCCCTGTTTACGAGTGTTTCAGGAGCCCTGCGTCGGGGAATCTGGGCAGCAACCGATACACACATCTCTTTAAGATTTCCCAAAGCCCATCAGCAAAGTAAACAAGCTCTGGAGATGCTTCTCGAAACCCTCAGAGCAGTGAACATGAGCTCCGTGCTCATGCTCTTCTAGCTCTTGTAGAAGCCACTGAGGCAAGCGGTCTCCTCCAGGGCCCCCCTTCCCCCTTCCAGCCCTGTGTCCAGCCTTCCCTCCCCGACGCACTGCTACTTGGGATATGAGGCGCATGGAGGTGTTGAATGATGAGTGACAGACATTCCTCAACAGTGTGCACGACAATGGGAAGAAGGCTGGGCTGCACAAGGAGAACCTGCTGCTTCGAGGCTGCACCATCAGGAACACGGAGGCCGTCGTTGGCATCGTCATCTACGCAGGTGGGCCCCTGGTCTGGGACGGTGCTGGCCCGACACATTGTCCCGTATGTTCTCAGGCATGGCTTCTTGTTTATATTTTTTTCTGATTACAAAAGTAGCAGCCCTGGCTAGTGTGGCTCCGTGGATTGAGTGCTGGCCTGAGAACCAAAGGGTCGCTGGTTCAATTCCCAGTCAGGGCACATGCCTGGGTTGCTGGCCAGGTCACCAGTAGGGGGCGGATGAGAGGCAACCACACATTGATGTTTCTCTCCCTCCCTTTCTCCCTCTCTTCCCCCCTGTCTAAAAATAAATAAATAAAATCTTTAAAAAAGAAAGTAGCATAGACCCATTGTAGAAAACTTGGAAAACAAAGGAAAGAGAAAGAAGCCCAATATATGATAACATCTTGACCAAAAGTGCTCTCTCCTAGCCTCTCACTCCACGTGGCTCCACGGTTGCCACTTATTTCAGATTATTTTTATGCCCTGCTCTTTTGTAAGTACACTGTCCCGTAAGTATCCTTCAATACCAGTGTTGTACTCCGATTCCCACAATTCCCGGCGTCAGCACCACACGCCCCTTCTCTGCCGGGCTCCGACTCCCGGCGCTCCTCCCCCTCCCCCACAGGACACGAAACCAAGGCGCTCCTGAACAACAGCGGGCCTCGCTACAAGCGCAGCCAGCTGGAGAGGCAGATGAACTGCGACGTCCTCTGGTGCGTCCTCCTCCTCATTTGCATGTCTCTGACGTCGGCGGTGGGTAAGTCTCCTCTACGGGACAGGCTCCAGTGAGCCTGGTAGGCTCTCTGTAACTCACTTCCACACCCTGAAGTTAAATGGCACCTCTGTCACTGGCCGAGATGTCCAGATGAGTGGGCTTGGCCCTGTGTGCTACTTTTCCAATTGGAAGCTTCCTGAGTGGAAGAATGGTCCACTGTAGTTGTAAGGAGTCCAGTGGCCAGAGTGTCCAGAACCTGGCAATGAACCAGGAGTTGAAGGAGCAGGGGAAACCTAAATGCTACTAACCGGGAATTCCGTGAAAAGACGAGGAAAATTCCTTGGAGGCTAGGATGGGGCTGGGCTGGCAGTTAGTTTGAGGTGGGCTCTGGGGCTCTGCAGTCCATGACAGCCTCACACCTGACCTTGGGAGCTCCTCCCAGGGAAGGGTGTCGGACCTCGGGATGCGTGACCTCCACCACACCCAGGCAGGTATGTTTGACGTGGCCTCAGCACTCTGGTGACAGAGACAGGCATACAGGGTAGGTAAAGGGCTCCTGTTATCAGAGAGCTGTGAGACCAGTTGATGAAGTAGTGTGTGTTGCCCTGGGCTTCCCAGAGTCTAAGACATGTGACTTTTGAATCTCCAAGGAGGGACAATCGTGGGCAGTGTTCAGAGCCTGCTGACGAGGCTGGGATTTTGTGAGGCACCCGCTGCACTGGGAAATTCCTTTCCGGAAGGTTCTCACTGGCAGCTGCCAGCAGCCCTGTGATCCCTGCACCCTGACCGGTGGTGCAATGAGAGTCAACAGTGGGAAACCGGATGTGAGCGGGAGCCCTGGTCCCAGAGCCCCCCAGCAGTCGCTCTCGGGCACCAACAGTACCACAAGCTTTGCTTTCTTAGCTGACAGGCAGGCACCTCTGGCCTCTTGTACCTGCGTCCAGTCCTAGTCTTCAAGTTTCGCCTTAATTTGCACTTTGCAGTGTTCTTATTGTGTCATCGGCTAAATGACGTTTCTCATTGAATGCACTACAGGACATGGACTGTGGGTCCAGCGGTATCAAGAGAAGAAAGCCTTGTTTGATGTCCCGGAGTCTGACGGCAGCTCTCTGTCCCCCGTCACAGCTGCAGTGTACTCGTTCCTCACCATGGTCATAGTTCTGCAGGTAACAGTGCCAAGTGCCACTCGGTGCTGGCTTGGCTTTGCTGGCAAGCACTTCCTGCTGGCATACTCTGCTATGCCTGTAATCTCCGCCTTGGAACAGTCATGGATGCACTTTGCTAATGTGTTGCATTTTACCTTGACTTCTAATGTTTCTAGAGGGTGTTTTCTTGGGTGATTTTCAAGTTCAAATTCTCCTTTGCTGTTCTTAAGATACTTAGGGTTTAAGGGGTTGGTTGTGATTTTTTTTTAGATTTTGTTCATTTATTTTTAGACAAAGGGGAAGGGTGGGAGAGAAGGAGAGAAACTCTGTGTGTGGTTGCCTCTCCAGGGCCCCCTACTGGAGACCTGGCCTGCAACCCAGGCATGTGCCCTGACTGGGAATTGAACCGGCAACCCTTTGGTTCACAGGCTGGCCTTCAGTCCACTGAATCACACTAGCCAGGGCACTTGTGATCATTTGTGTTATTTTGTTTTTCATTCAGTTACTTCTAAAAGAAAATCTAAAGTTTTAGAATTTTTTTCAATGATAGTTGGCATTTCGTATTAGTGTCAGGTGTGTGGCATAGTGGTTTGGACAGTCCTATTCTTAAAAAATGTTCCCCTTGATTATTTCCAGTCCCCATCTGGCACCGTGCATAGTTGTTACAATATTATTGGCTCTATTCCCAATGTTGTACTTTACATCCCTGTGACTATTTTGTGCCTACAAGTCTGGAATAATTTTAAGACTTAGAGACAAGTGGCAAAAAATAGTACAGAGAGGTCCCCTGGGTCCCCCGCCACCTTCCCTCATGTGCACCTGTCACTGCAGCACATTTGTCAGAACCAAGAAAGCAGCTCTGGTCCTTTGCCCTGAACTGAACTCCAGATTTCATTCCGATTCCAGTAGTTTCTCCCAACAATGTGGTTTTTCTGTTCCAGGGCTTGAGTCAGACTATCACATCACAGCTAGCAGCATTAGTATTGTTGTTTTGATTATTGTTACTGTTATTGTTAATTCACATGCTCCCTCCATGACCCCCAGTCACTAACCGAGAATCTGTGCCCAGGAGGAGAGGGGACAGTGAGGGTCACAGCCAGCCTCCTTGGGACACACAGTGACCACAGGGCATTTGCTTCACCTTTGTCTTCCATCACATGTGCTTCATACACCCAGAAACAGCCTCACTTACCTTTCCAGATTAGCAGGGCTTTGTTGGAACTCAATGTGTCAATTTACCTCCCTGTCGTTCTCCTAAAAATTTTGACATAAAGTGGATTGAGCACTGGCCTGCAAACCAAAGGGTCGCCAGTTCAATTCCCAGTCAGGGAAACAGTCATGGCTCGCTTGGGTTGCGGGCCAGGACCCTGGTGGGGACCACGTGAGAGTAAACCACACATGAATGTTTCTCTCCCTCTTTTTCTCCTTCCCTTCCCCTGTGTCTAAAAATAAATAAAATCTTTAAAATAAACTTCGATGGAAAAAACAAACTGAAACTATAGTGGTGTCTAAGAGGTTGAAACTGTTATGGATACTATGTGCATTATTCAAAGAATTTTTATAAGTTATTCTTTTTCCCTATAACACTTTCCAATTTTAAGGAGATGCAATTGACACACAATTGTATGTGTATGTGTATTAATCTCAGGGGTGCAACATGATGATCTGATATTCATATATATTACAAAAGGATCACAATAAATTCAGTGAACATCATCACCTTATATAGTCATAATTTTTTGTGCCATGGACTTTGAGGATCTATTCTCCTAGCAAATGTCAAATATCCAGGACAGTATTATCAATTACAGTCACCATGCAGGTCCACCACATCCCCAGAACTGGTGTATCTCATAACTGGGACTGTTTGTACCTTCTGACCCCCTCCACCCATTTACCCCCCCACACATCCTGCCTCCACCAACCACCAGTCTGTTCTCTAAGAGTCAGGTTTTGTTTCACTTCTACCTATGAGATCATCGTGCTGCAGGTAATAGTACTTGTCTTTCTCTGTCTGATCTATTTCACTTATTCCATTTTATAACTGCCAATTTTGTTCGGGCCTAGAGTTAGTCCTATAGTACGCATGGCATTAACACACTTAAATTACCAAGAGCACCAGTCCACCTGAATAATAGTCTGAGCCCGTAAACATCAGTTCAATGCTGTTTGAACGGAAACAAGAAAAAAATTAAATGTTGATTTCTTGGAGATTGTTCTTCAGTTGTCACAGTGTAACCGAGTATTTTTCATGGCGCCTTCTTTGCTCTGCTCTGTATCATACATTACAGAAACACTAACACAAACCCAGCCTCTGAAAAGCCTGTGGGGTTGTTGCGACCAAGGGCCGGGCCACCAGGATCCTGGGGGCAACTTGGGGGCCCAGTGCCGCTGTGGTACGAGATGACTTTGCTCACGAGGACTCTGACTGTGCCCTGTGTTTTTCTGTTTCTCTTTCCTCTCCTAGCCTTTCTCAAGCACAACTTAGTAACGAAAATGCTTGCTTCTCTCCAAGCCATGGCTCCATACTTCCCAGACACCATAGTGGATTTCCGCTCCGCAGGGGCACCGTCGTAGGCTGCCCTACTTTAAACTCTTTGCCAATATCCTAATACTTTTACAATAGTGACTCTAAGCCAACCTATGTAAGCTCTTAAAGGTACAGTATAGTCCCTATTTACTTGTGGTTGTAGTCATTTCAGTAGATCAGACTGATTCCACAGCGTCCTGGTCCCCATGGCCGCTCATTCCGTGTGCCTGCTGTCTTCCAGGTCCTGATCCCCATTTCGCTCTATGTCTCCATCGAGATCGTTAAAGTGTGCCAGGTGTACTTCATCAACCAGGACATGGAGCTGTACGACGAGGAGACCGACTCCCAGCTGCAGTGCCGGGCTCTGAACATCACGGAGGACTTGGGGCAGATCCAGTATATCTTCTCGGACAAAACTGGCACTTTGACTGAGAATAAGATGGTTTTCCGAAGGTGCACTGTGTCTGGCGTAGAATATTCACATGATGCGAATGGTGAGTGGGAGAGGGGACAGCCGGTGAGGGCTGTACCGGGGCAGCGGCTCTGTCTGAAGCTGCACGCATGCGCATCTGCGTGTGGGTGTTTGCGCGTCTGCGGGTGTGCGCATGCTCACGCTGTGTACGCACACTTGCACACGCACGCCCCTCGGAGACTGCTGTTTTTTGAGGGAGCGTGGAATAAAACTGAGCACCCCTTATAGAAGAGGAGTTGCTGCGTACTGTAGTGTTGCAGCATAGAGGGCTCCGGCCTACACACTCACTTTCTGCCACCCAAGCGGAGCCCAGGAGGGCATCCCCGAGGAGCTAACTTCTGAGGCGCCCGGAGTCTGAGTCACACCAATAGGCGAGAGATGTTTCTGGTGTCATCCAAGAATTTGTGCCAAATTCGCTGGACAGTGATGTCGCGGGATCTAGGAAGAATGGAGTCATCTTCACGTTGGATATTTTAGGTGGTCTCTTACCCACACCTCACCTTTCCTTATCCCTTGCTGCCTCTGTTCTATCTGATGGCCCAGGGAGCGACCAGCTTCCTGAGATGAGGGTGTGACTGGAGCCCTGTGTCCGTCTGAGCCAGCAGAGGGCGCGCTGTCGTGTTTCTGAAGTTAAGAAAGATACCTGCTCTACAACTGGTTAAGAAAGATACCTGCCCTTCCTTCTGGGAACAGCATCTGCGAACATCCAAGAGACCTTGCCACAAAATGGAAGCAAAGACGAAACGGGGGACACCGTAGGAAACTGTCCTTTAGGAAGACTCAGTGGGAACCATTTGCCAGAACACAAGTTTTGTGAGTTTTATAAAGCCAAGACTTATTATGGTGTCCACGAACGTCCTCCATGTAAAATTATAGCCATCATATTAAGCAGAAGGCCTAAGAACTTACCCCCTTTGTTTAATGTTTTATTTGCCATCCAGAAGAAAGTGGCAGCATCCCGTTCACCCAGGGCTGTCCCCACTTTCTCGTTCTGGAGCTCCTCAGCCTGGTGCACTAGAGCCCAGCTACCCACAGCCTGGCTGTAAAGGACTCAGGGACCCAGCCCAGCCAGGTCAGCAGTTGCTCTGAAACTTGGACCTGAAGCTCCAGGGGCAGAACCCCAGCTCTGATTCCAGATGTTGACAGTTGTCGGCTGCTTACTACCCAAGGTTCCCATTTCCCCTGGAAGACCCATTTCTGGGGATGATGGAGATGACCAGGCACCTGTGCAGCATTTGAAAGCCGTTCTGTGATCATTCATCGACGTGCTTCCAAAGCCATGAGTGTCCTCTGAGGTTTTTCTCATGACTTTGACCTCTCGAGGTCTCATTAAGAAAACCAGCTCAAAGCCCAGCTCACGTATATCCGACCAGGCCACACCAACCTCAGGTACTGGTGCTGGTGTGTGCCCTGGAGCCAAGCGTCACCTGCTCCTGGCTTTCATCCTCCCCAAGGATGGACATTCAGGCCATCACAGGTCACTGCTGGTCAGACTCTCCGGCATGGTTGAAGGTCACCGGCCCGCCAGCACTGGCCTGAGGGTGGCTACTTTCAGGCCAACACCTGACCCAAGGTGGCTGGGCCTTGCAGGTATGCCCTTCAGGAGGCTGATGCCAGCCTCCCAACACAAAAGTTTAGAAGCTGACAGTCCATGTCCAGGCTTTGTTCTTGCTTGTCAGAGTGCCCCTAGCAGGATCCTGGTGTTGGGGCTACTGCACCTTTTGGCCACGGACAGGAGACTCCCCCTTACTTGTTTCTGTCTTGCTCGTCTCTAGATCTAAAGAAAGATGCTGACTGTAAGGCCTGGTCCGCAGGATAGATCCACACCCCGGGCATCCGCATGCCCAAGGCCCCTGTCTCGGCTCCTCTCATGAGCGCCGCCTAGTGTCAGGACCCCTACACTGCGCCTGGCGCCCCGCTGCCCTTACCGTTCTCGGGGCAGTAACCGCTTGTTCCGAATGAGTACGCGCTCGTGGATGGTCTCCTGGTTGCTCATCCGTGATGACACAGCCACCTAACCGGGCAACACCAGGAAAATGTGTTCAGAGCCATTCTCGAGTTCAGAACAGCAGTGTGGACGCGCTTCCCTGATCACTGAGTGCCGCTCGGCTGCTTGCTAATAGTATTCGCAGCGCCCCCTAAGGGCCAAAGGGGAGTCACGCTCAGTTCTCCAAGGCCCGTTTGCTGGCAGCCCGGACCCTGAGGGCACCATTTCACCCTGGGCCCGCCCCTGCGCCCCACTCCCCTCCCCCTGCAAGGAACGCGAGCCTCCCTGCTGCCCAGCCCTGTGTCTACACCTGCTGAGGGTGGAGAGGGCCCCCTGGGACTAAGCAAGGATCCCTCCCATGCCCGGGGGAGAAAGTCCTCAATACAACATTGTCACTTCTGTGAGACTGCAAGGCTCAGTGGCATCTGTCACGAGGGCCCCAGTGAGCCCGGTGGGCCCTCGACCCCAGATACTCTGTGGGCCAGGCCTTCCCTGCCACCTGTCTCCTAAACCCCACTCCCACGTAAGCTTCCCCTGAATAGAGGGGCACCGTGTGAACCCATCCCAGGGGACTCGGGACCTGTTTGCATTCCACGAAGGACAGGACCCAAACTATGGTGCCCCACGGGCCTAGGCGCCACTCCACCACCCGCCCCTGCATCCTGTGACCTCAGCAAGCTCTCAAATTCTCTGAGATCGGTTTTCTCATCTGTGGAATAAGTTGAGAATATCGACCGCAGCAGGTTGCACACAAGCACAGATGAGTGGAAGCGTCCTCCATCCCTCATTAAAGGTGGACTTGCCATTGACCGAGGGTGGCCAGGGCTCTGCACACCCACTTCCTTGGCCCATCCTCCCCTTGATGTGTGGCCTGTATCCCTCTCCCCACAGCGCAGCGTCTGGCAAGGTACCAGGAAGCTGACTCGGACTCGGAGGAGGCGGCGCCCAAAGGGGGCTCGCTGTCCCAGCGCGGCAGCATCGGGAGCCACCAGAGTATCCGAGGGCTACCCAGGACGCAGAGCACCAAGTCGCACCGGCGCACCGGCAGCCGGGCCGAGGCCAAGTGGGCCAGCATGCTGTCCAAGCACACGGCCTTCAGCAGTCCCATGGTGAGTCCCAGAGCATGGCCACCTCTTCCCCAGTATGTCATTCCCCCATCCATCAGAGCCAACTGTGGTCAATAACACACGTGCCGTCGCTGGCAGAGTTGGCTCTGCTCCATGAGCATGGGGTCTCCTGGCCACCACCTCCTCCCCACAGGGGCTGACACGGCCCCTTCACCACCACGGTTACAAGGCTGGGGGACCTCCAGTGCACACCCAGATGGGTGACAGAGAGGAAGCCTGTCTTGCCAAATGAAACAAATAAACCATAGAGCAAGACGACAACTGTGAAAAAGCAAAGCCAAATGGAAAAATATATAGTTTTAATGAGATGAGCCCAAAGCCAATAAAACTTGTTTCTCGCCGGTCTGGTCAGCTGCCCAAACGTTTCCGGAAGTGAGCCAGCGGCAGCTTCTGAGAGATCCTTTCGCTTCCAAAATGGTTCAGGAACAGAGAGGGAGAACCCATCTTGTTCAGTCTGGGCTGGCCTCCTTTTAGGTGGCTGCTGGGTGGGCTTATGTGGGGCACATGGGGGGGGCTGTCACACTTGGCAGGAGGGAGATTGCATTGGAACAGGTTTTCCTGACGTCTATTTAGCAACATGGGAGCCGAGGATTTATACGCACAGAAGCTTATAAGTGCACAATTTACGTCAGCCAAGCAGTGAAAAATGCAGCTAGTGATAAAGGAATGGTCAAATAAAGTACGGTACATCTGTTTTGAAATTGTTAAAAGTCGTGTTTCCAAAAACAGCAGCCCCCCGTTATCCACAGTTTGACTTTAGGTCAGCTGTGGTCCAAAACTACTAAACGGAAAATTCCAGAATTACATTTCAAGCCACGCTGAGTAGGGTGATAAAATCTCACATCATCCCGCTCCGTCCTGCTTCGACATGAATCACCTCTCTGTCATCTCCCCGCTCCCTGCTCCTCGCTGTTGGTCGCTTAGGAGCCGGATCAGTCATCCGATCCATTCTCATGGTGGCGCAGGGCTTGCGTCCACATTGCCCTTCCTCTACTTCATAAATGGCCCGCAAGCGCGTCCTTTACGTGAAAAGATGTGTATGTAGAGGAAAAAACACAGCAGGGCCCGCTTGAGTGTGTTTGGTAGGGTAATAATATGGGTGTGCATATTTATAGTTTTAATTTGAATGTTTCGCCTAAAATGTCTGGTGGTGTGCTTGAGTGTGATTTTGTTATGTTGCAGAATGACATGCTTGTGATTTTGTAATGAAAGAGTTTGTGATCAAAATGGGGCCTTACCTGTGCCGCACCCTGTATATAAGGGTCCCGAACTACCCGTGGTTTCAGGCATCCACTGGGGGTCTGGATCATGTCATCATGAATAAGGGGGGACGGCTGTCATTCCAAAACGCCTGGAAAAGTGCGCCTAAGATAGCGTCGGGGGGGGGGATGGGAGCTGCCAATTTATGTGTAAATTTCTGCTGAGCTATAACTGACATAGAACAGTGTATACGCTGAAGTTGGGAAATGCAAGTCAAACCATAAGGAGGTCACCCTGACCTGTTAGAGTGGCTGTCATCAAAAAGACAGCAGGTAGCAAGTGTTGGCGAAGAAATTGGAGCACTTCAGCGCTGTGGGTGAGAGGGCACATTGGTTTCAGCCACTATGGAAACAGTAAGGAGGCTCCTTAAAAAATTAAAAATGTGCCCTGGCTGCTGTGCCTCAGTGGATTGAGCGCTGGCCTGCGGACCGAAAGGTCACTGGTTTGATTCCCAGTCAGGGCACATGTCTGGGTTGCAGGTGGCTGATTGGGGGTGTGTAAGAGGCAACCAATCGATGTCTCTCTCACACATCGGTGTTTCTGTACCTCCCATTCTCCCTCCTTTCCTATCTCTCTAAAATCAATAAGTAAAATCTTTTGTTAATATTTTTAAAAATTAAAAATGTAATATAAAAGTGAGCATCCCCACTTCTGGAAATACAGCCAAAGGAATGTATAAAGTTTTTATTTAAAGATTTTACTTATTTATTTTTAGAGAGGGGGAGGGAAGGAGAAAGAGAGAGAGCAAAACATCAATGTGTGGTTGCCTCTCATGTGCCCCCAACTGGGGACCTGGCCCACAACCCAGGCATGTGCCCTGACTGGGAATCGAGTCGGCGACCCTTTGGTTCACAGGCCAGCACTCAATCCACTGAGCCACACCAGCCAGGGTTGTATAAGATATTTTGATGGTGGACAATGTAAATGTATAGAAAAAAGCCTGGTAGAAAACACAAAGCACAAATTTCAAAAGTCTATACAGGGTGGGGCAAAAGTAGGTTCACAGTTCGTGTGGAAATTAATATCATAATAAATAATAACACAAGAATACCTCTGTTTTGCGTGCCCACAGCTGTAAACCTACTTTGCCCCCCTGTATTACCATGAGGTAGTGTGCTAGAGATTTATTAAATTTTTCTGTTCTTCTCTGTTACTTCCAAGTCTTTCTGAGTAAGAAGATATGTGCCTTTATATCAAATATATTCTTAGGTGTACTGTTATGTGATAACATGTATACTTTCTATAAGAATATATGCTTTTCTTTTACCTGTTATACATTTCTGTACAATTAAAATTATGCATAAGTATCATTGTAAAATGACATGTGTACATGCGAGGTGAAGGCATGTTTACAGCGTATAAATAAAGTCAGGATGCCTTAAATAGTCAGCCACGAAGACACTTCGTAGGTCCCGGGTCAGGCTCACCCGCCAGCCTCTGGTTTCCTCCAGGAGAAAGACATCACGCCCGACCCGAAGCTGTTTGAGAAGGTGAGCGAATGTGACAAGTGCCTGGCTGTCTCGAGGCACCAGGAGCAGCCACTGGCCCGCCTGTCGCCCGAGCTGTCTGACGTGTTCGACTTCTTCATCGCGCTCACCGTCTGCAACACAGTGGTGGTCACGTCCCCAGATCAGCCACGCCAAAAGGCAAGTGCCCCTCTAGAGCCCACAACGCCCTTGACCTTTGGCACAATGTCAGTCTTCTGGCTTTTCCTTCCCTGCAGAAGCTCAGCACCTCCTGTCACGGTTAAGGGCACACAGCAGGGGGCTTCCGGGGGCAAGCCAGCTGGCGGCCTCTCAGCGCCATCCTCTGGCCGCAGTGCGGCAGTTGGGTGCCAGGCTGGGGCCGAGCGGCAGAGAACAGACACCCTCCACCCTCTGATCCCGGGACAGGAGGGGCGGGGCACGGGCAGGTGCCCTACATGACCCACCTGGAGTCTTAGGGTCCCAGCGTCGCCGAGGAGAGAGAGGACAGGGTGGGGACCGAGACTCTGGGACAAGCCCCCTGGACTCGAATCCTGACTTCACCACCCAGCTGAGCGGCTTGTCATTTGTTTAGAAAGTTTCTTTGTGATTTGGAAATGTTCTTTGTGTGTTTAAGTGTTTTATGGGCATAATTCAGAGAAATGTATAAACCAGTTTTTTGTTAAGTGGCGGGAAGGGGGAAAGGCTGGACTTGCTGGCAGGCCATGACGAGCCTGTGCCTCCGAAACTGTTCTGCAAAGCAACGGGACAGTCTCAAAGCCAGCACCACCAGCCACACACCCTCTGAGTCCATCGGGGTCTCAGGGACGGTGACCCGGGTGAGCGCGTCCTGAAAGGATGCACATGGCGTTACCTTTAAGGAAAGAGGCTAAAGAATGGTCTCAAGAAAGAGAGGCTAGCCCCGTTGCAGCTTTCATCGTCTGCCGGGAAATTTGGGGGATGGGAAGCAGGGGAGCGCCCTGTGGCGGCCCGGGCGGGGCCTCGCGAGGACACGGCTCGCCTGTCTCCTGCAGGTGCGGGTGAGGTTCGAGCTGAAGTCCCCGGTGAAGACCATAGAAGACTTCCTGCGGAGGTTCTCACCCAGCCGCCTGGCCTCCAGCTGCAGCAGCACCGGGAACCTGAGCAACAGCAAGTCCAACCATCGATCGGGGTCCGGCTTCCTGTCGACCTTGTCGGCGGAGAGCGCCTTGCTCAGGCTGGAGGAGAGGCCGGGCCAGCTGGCCCAGGCCGCGGGCAGCAGGGACTACGGCAGCGGTGGCGGCAGTGAGGCGGACGGCTGGGCCCCTGGGTGCACCCCAGCGCAGGAGCCCGAGGCTGAGCTGCGCTACGAGGCGGAGAGCCCGGACGAGGCCGCGCTCGTGTACGCCGCCCGCGCCTACAACTGCGCGCTGGTGAACCGGCTGCACGACCAGGTGGCGGTGGAGCTGCCCCACCTGGGCAGGCTGACCTTTGAGCTCCTGCACACGCTGGGCTTCGACTCCATCCGCAAGAGGATGTCAGTGGTGATCCGGCACCCGCTCACCGACGAGATCAACGTCTACACCAAGGGCGCCGACTCGGTGGTCATGGACCTGCTGGTGCCCTGCTCCTCAGGTACCCCACCCCACCCCTCCCAGCGTCCCAGCAATCAGCCCCACCCCGTCCCTTCCACGGGTGAAGCGACTTTCATGAGGGGGAGAGAGAGAGAGAAAGAGAGGTATGGATGTGAGACAAAAGCATCTGTCTGTTGTTCCTGGTATGCACCCCAACTAGGGATCGAACTCCCAACATTGATGGTGTGGGTCGGGGAGGGTGGCAGTGCTCCAAACAACTGAGCCATCCTGCCAGGGCCTTGAATGTTCCTTTAAAGCCGTGCCCACTAGGCCTGCCTCCTGCCTCCCCATATCCTGGGGCCTAGAATGCGGTGGGGGGGATGGGAGGGGCCTCAAGGCCAACTCTCCTGGAACAGAGGGGCTGGGGGTCCCCCAGTGAGACCTAGCATCAGCTTTCAAGTCTGGACAATGAAGGTTAAGAACATTTAGACAAGCTGTTCTGGAAGGTTTCTTCCTGTCCTGTGTTGGCCACAGTTTTTAGCCCCTGTGTGGAGCTGACTCAGGCCCTCCCCTTGTGGGGGCCCCAGGAGTGGGGGCTGCTGGCCCCCCGCTGGGCCTTCTGTCCCGAGTTTGGGGAGAGCCACTCCGTCTTGGCTCATGTAACTGCAGCACTGAAAAAGGAGGATTGGAAAACACTAGTGTGGAGAGTGGGACCTGCTTGAGCAGGGCTTGCAGGTCTTTGCAGGTACAAGCTTCTGGGGCTAGGAAACCGCCACTGACCTGCACAGGAGAGAGCGGGTGGAGGTGAGGATGTGGCCGGCAGACAGCGGGACCCACCCCGGCTCCTGCCCCCCAAGGCCTCCCGAACCACCTGGCAGTGGTGGCTCTGAAGCGGCTCCGGCAGGAGCTGAGCCCCGTGGTCTGAGTGCGCCCTTCCCTTGCTCTGGGACAGAATTCTTTCCCCAGAGCTGCCCCAGCGGCTCTGCCCACAGAGACCCTTCCCCATCACAGACCTGTCACCTCCCGAAGGCCGCCCACCTGAAGGAGCAGAGGCACCTCTGAAGAGTTTGAACGGCCTCTCGGGGGTAACCCACCAAAGGGCCGGGTCTCGCCTCCATACACCCGCAGCGGTGCTGCCCTAGGGCTTGCCAAGAATCCAGTGTGCAGGCTGGGGGTGCCTTCAAGAGGCTTCTTCATTGGAAGATCTGATTTTGCACCCACAAAAAAGGGAAACAGCTATAGACTTAACAGTGCAGATTTCCTCCAATGCAAAAAAAAAAGATGATTTGTGTTCTGTTCCACCGCTTTGCAGTAAAGACAGGGTAATGGACCGTGGTGTTTCAGACTTCACCTCTTATGGCCTGGCTGGGAGGGGGACCGTGGGGGGCGGGGGTGGACAGTCCTGCTGAGCTCTGCAAAGGACACGCCAGCCGCTGAGAAGGCAGCAGTGGCCACCCTTGAACTTCGCCGGCACTGCACTTTTTGAATGAGTAAAAAGTCTCAAATTGTATGCGAAGCACAAATGAAATTCTTATCACTGAGGGTCGGGCACGCAGGGCCCTAAGTGCAGGCTGGGCCAGGGAAGCGATGCTGTAACTGTCGCGAAGCCCGTTGAAGGGGGAGAATTCAAAACAAGCAGTTGGCGCGGCTCCCTGCCCTTCTCCGGGAATTTCCCAGCGGTGCGCTGTGCTGATGGGTTTGCACAGGGAAGACTTATGGGAGACACCAGGCAACGTAAGATTCAGGATGTTCAGGGACCCCAGCAGCTTCTCAGGAGTGGGGTTGTAAGGTGGCTTTGGGGTCACCCTGAGTGGGGCGCCCAGGACACCTGGCACTACTCAGAATGGTTCCCCTTTGACCTTGGGGGGTGGGTGGGGGTGGAAGAGCAGAGGCTGCCGGTGCCTGGGACGCAGCGTGGGGGCCCAGCTGCTGTACGTGTGTGCAGGTGATAAAATTAGGAAGGCGTACGGGTGTCACCTGCCAGATGTAGTCCAACATTTTCTTCCAGGTACTTACGATGCTTTTACCGAAAAATGCACACGGAGGCTAAGCCAGTGGACTCGACTGTGTTAGAGAGAGTGTGTCGTAGTCCCAGGAAGTCATGTGGGATCAGGTAGCAAGCGGGGGCTTCACTGCCCCCCAGTACTTACAGACCTCCGTTCCAATCCCAGGGTGGGTGGCCCTGGACAAGTCACTCAGCCTGTGCCTCAGTTTCCCCCCTGTGGAAAGGAAATCAGGATGCTGACATCATGGTCAGGTGTCATGGTCAGGCACAGGGCCTGGTGTCCTGTGGGTATAAAGCGTAAGCTGTGTCCCTTTTCCTTCTCTCTGGCTCCTTCCCCTTGGGATTCCCTTGCTGTGGGGTCAGGACAGTGGCCTCTGTGTGTGGTCCTGGAGACCTACCCCTCCCCCAAGTTGAGGGGAGCAGGGCGCCACCTAGTGGGCCTCCGGTGTTGCTGCTGTCTGGCTGGCCGGTCAATCAAAGCCTGCGTGAACCACGGACCGACCTCACCTCCTTCTTTCACCATCTTACTAAAATGACATTCCCACGGAGAAATACATTCTTCTAAAGTACATAGGAAATGGGCACATCACTTTGAGCAATTTTCAAAACACGCCTTAAAATCAGGAGTAGCCAGGACATCTTTCTCTGGGGGATGCCCAGGGCCCCAAGGCACCTGGCCCTGCGCAGAGACGCCTGCACCTGGGCGCAGGTGCCTGTGGACACAGCCTTCGTCCACGGCAGGCGGGGTCCAGAGCGGCCCGGCCACCTTCTCCTCAGGTAGCTTTGTTCTGGTGAATGCAGTCGATGGCAGCTTCTAGCCACTGCGCAGCCCCGACTGCCTGAGGCGACCTTCCTCTCCCACCTCTGGGCCACTGATTTGTGAGAGAGGAAAGGAGACAGACAGAGAGTGACACTGATAGGTTGCCTCCCATACACACCCCAACTGGGACACGGACCCACAACCTCGGTACATGTCCTGACCAGGAATCGAATCTACCCTTTGGTGCACCGGAAAATGCTCCAACCAGCTGAGCCACCTGGCTGGCTTTTGTTGTTACTATTTTAATTTCAAAGTCCCTCAGATAGTCACACTCAGAGAACACTCAGAATCTGAAATAAGGTCACCCTCACCTGCTAAGAACAACGTGGTCACCAAGCCAGGAGGAAATGGTCGGGTGACTCCGTGATCTCTTCAGGAAATTTAAATTCCTAAAGCAAAGTAATGAGAGCAGCGTGTCCCGTTTATCACCTCTTTGTTTTTACATTGTTTCCCCAACTCAGTATTTTTTCAATATTACAGCTTCTTTTTAGACTTTCTGTTTTTAAATGTCCTCCCCTGATATTTATGAATTGATTTTAGAGAGAAGAAGGAGGGAGAGAGAAGAAGGAGGGAGGGAGGGAGGGGGAGAGAGAGAGAATCATTGATTTGTTGTTCCACTTATTGACACATTCATCCGTTGCTTCTTGTACGTGCCCTGACCTGGGATCAAACCCACAACTTTGGCGTAGCAAAATGGTCTTCCAACCAACTGAGCTACCCAGCCAGGGCCGCCCGCGTGACATTTTAATGCCACAGATATGCTGTGTCTGCATACTATATGTGTACCTCTGGTGAATACATAAAAATTTTTTTGGCCTTGAAGGAGCAGTTTTCAGTGCCTTGATGGGTGTGGGAGGCACAGTGTAATTTCTCCCGAGTCCCATCTGTCACGGGGTGACTTGGGAGCAGACAGCTCGCCTCATGTCTGGTTAGTAGGGTGGCCAGATTTAGCAAAGAAAAGACAATGAATGTCCAGTTAAATATACATTTCAGAAAAACAACAGCTAATATTTTTAGTAAACGTATGTCTTACGCAATATTTGGGCATCTTTTGTGTGTCTGGCAACGCAAACAGATGCGAGGGCTATTCTGGGGACAGAAAGTGGACTTTCTGTGCAGGACGAGTTTTCATAAACAGGAAGAGTACACACCTTCATTCGGTGGACTGGACAGACGACGCCGGGTCACTCTCAGCGGGGCTTGAAATGTGTCTCATTTCAAGCGGCCCCATGAGGAGCAGAGCCCAAAACACACATGTTGATGAGACTCTTCTTTAAGTAACGGCTTCCGCCGGGCACGTTCTATGGAAAGTGTGTGCTCCTTACCGGTGCTGAGCAGACAGCTAGCTGACTGCCCCAGTGGCCCCACTGGCCGTGGCTGGAGCCCACTCGGTGCGAGGACGCTCCTGTGATGTTCGTGCTAACGGGGGGTGAGGGGACAAAATGCCAAGGTCACTGCCACTGACAGGTTTGGGTTCTCGTCTCCTGTTATTAAAGAATTTAGACCAGAGCCCTGGCCTCAATGTGGCTCAGTGAGCTGGGCATCGTTCTGCAAAACAAAAGGTCGCCAGCTCGATTCCAGGTCAGGGCATGTGCCTGGGTTGTGGCTTCAGTTCCTATAAATAACTTAAAAAACTAATTTAGACCAGAGGCACTGATAAAAGCAGAGGGAGATTTATGGAGCCTCCTGAGATAGGGCCCCGGGTTCTGTACCCCAAATGTGAGATTTAGGGGTTTTTATTGCTTAGGCACACAGAAATTGCTGGGGTTAACCATCAAGGCGTAAATTACCAGGCTTTTCCTTTGCTGGAACATTGATGGCCCGTTATACATCAGGGAAGCAAAGCACTCTGGGATCGTGCAGGACTTATTATGGGCGCAGGAAGGGCCCTTCCCAACCCAGTATTGAGTTGGTCTGTGTGGCTTGGCTTTAGATCTGACAGGCCGACTTGAAAGGAGCCCGGGGAGCTCCTGGACCATTGTTTCGTGGCTGCCTATTGATAAGTGCCACGGCTCCGCTGGGCTCGGCTCGATGGAGCGTCTCAGGGCGTATTCTGCCTGCTTCACCGCCAGCTAGAGCGAGGCGGAAAGGTGAGGACCCCTTATGACCCCGTGGCTCGGAACACGCTCACTCACCACACACTGTTGTCGCGCACAAAGGGAGGAAAGAGCCTCTGCCTTCCAGCTCCTAGGTGTTGGCGGGAGAGGACGCACCCGGCTGCGGATTCCACAGCGGGGCGGGGCTGGTGTCGGCACTCCGGCACTTTGGGAATAAGCAGCAGGTCTGCCCCTCGTCTTTATCCACGGAGAACAGAAAAGGGTGGGTGTGTAGAGAACAGAAAAGGGCAGATGTGTGGGGATCGCATTAGGGCAATCGCATTAGCTAACAGCTGATTTCTTTGCTGTGGTTTTTGTTTTTTTAGTTGTGGTTAAAAATAGATAAGTTACCATTTTGCCCTGGTTGGTGTGGCTCAGTGGGTTGTCATGTCATCCTGTAGACTGAAAGGTTGTGGGTTCCATCCCCAGTGGGGGCGTGTACAGGAGGCAACCGATCAATGTTTCTCTCATATCAGTATTTCTGTCTCCCCCTTCCTCTCTCTCTAAAAGCAATGAATAACATGTCTGCGGTTAAGGATAAAAAAAAGAACAAAGTCACAAGGATGTAAAGTACGGCACAGGGAATATACTCTATAATATTGTCATTAACTGTGTATGGTGCCAGGTGGGCACTGCCAATATCAGGGGAAACACGTTGTAAAGTATATGGTTGTCCAACCGCTGTGCCGTACACCTGAAACTGCTGCGAAAGAGTATTGAATGTAAACTGTGATTGGAAACCAAAATTTTAAAAAATTAAAATAAATCAATCAAGAGAACACCGCACAGAAGTAGAGCCTCCACGGGGCTCTGTTTTTTTGCCCCTCTCCCTTTCTGCTTCTGCTCCGACCTAGATGACGCCAGAGGAAGGCATCAAAAGAGAATCCGCAGCCAGACCCAGAATTACCTGAACCTCTACGCAGTGGAAGGCCTGCGGACGCTGTGCATCGCCAAGAGGGTGAGTGGGGCCGCGGCCCGCCGTGCGCGCTCCCGGGGGGCGTGCGCGCTCCGGGGGGGGGGGCCCGCGCGGCCCGCGCTCCAGGCGGGTCTCAGCAGGCCATGTCCCGCAGGTCCTGAGTCAGGAAGAGTACGCCTGCTGGCTGAAGGGCCACTTGGAGGCAGAATCCTCTGTGGAGAACCGCGAGGAGCTCCTCTTCCAGTCAGCCATTCGCCTGGAGACGGACCTGCACCTCTTGGGTAACGACGCCCGGAGTGCGTGCGGCGTGGGCTGGTTGTGAGTGTAATGATGGCTCCCCAGGGGGAGGCGACTGGGCTGCAGGCAGCAGCGGCATCTCTGCATGTGCCGGGCTCGCTAAGGAGCCTCCTGAGGCTCCAACGGCCCTCAGGCGGGACCATCCTTGACGGAGTGCTCCCCCCCGCCGTGGCCCGGTTCTGTGGGCCCGGTTCTGTGGGTTCTCCGTGTGCCCCACCAGGCACTCCTCCCATCCCCCAACTTGCCTGCCCTGCAACCCTGCTTTTCCACCAGAAATGGAAGCCATGCTTCTCAACAACTGATGCCTAAAAGGATCCACCCAACCTTCACCCCAGGAAACAAAAAGAAGCTCTGGTTGAGCCCCAGATATGGTTACATTTTACATCTTAAGAATGCTTCCAAGTTGTCTGTGAAGTTCAAAGTCAGCTGCGTGTTAGGAAAAGTTGCAGGTGCTTTGTTGTAGGTCCAGAGGACTCTGGTCAGGGCTTTCAACTGACCTTCGGACTCAGCCATTGGCGGTGTCCCCTGCTGTCCCGAGCCGACCACCCCCTCCCCACGTGTGGGGCCATAGGGGGCAGACCCTCGGCAGGTCCCTGTCTGCAGGTCGAGCAGCAGCTGGTGTGTGAGGGTGTGGTGGCCTCTCACCCGTCAGGGTCTGGGGCCAGGAAGGACCGGCCCACTCACTGCCACGCCTCTGGCCAGGTGCCACTGGGATCGAAGACCGCCTGCAGGACGGTGTTCCCGAGACCATAGCGAAACTGCGGCAGGCCGGCCTGCAGATTTGGGTTCTCACCGGCGACAAACAGGAAACCGCTGTCAACATCGCCTACGCCTGTAAGCTGCTGGACCACGATGAGGAAGTCATCACCCTGAACGCCGAGTCCCAGGTAGGGGCTTCCCCGGGACACGCGGCTCGGCCTGCGGCAGCTGCACCCCAAGGGCCAGGGCAGAGCGCAGCGAGATGCGCCAGGAGCCTGGGTGGCCCCGGCGCCCAGCCGCTGCCCCTGCGCTGTTTCCGGCAGCCGAGGCCCATGCTTGTGGTGGCCTTGGAAAATCCGCTGGGGTTTCTCAGTCTCGAAGGGATGCCCACCTCGGCTTGGCTTTTCTTTTCTTTTCTTTCTAATTTGTATAGACTGACGCTGCAGAGAGAGGAAGGGAGATAGAAACGCCGATTTGCCACTTGCTCCACTTACTGCTGTGCTCACACTGGTTGCTTCTTGTCTGTGCCCTGCCCGGGGGGCGGGGCCTGCAACCAGGGCACGTTGGGGCGACGCCACCCGGCCAGGGCCACCTGGGCGTCGTTAATGCAGAGTTCAGCCTGCTCTTTCCTGGCGCACTGTCCACGTTGGTGTCAGAGGGTTTTTTCGCGAGCTCACGAGGAGCCAGGGCAACAGGTTCATCAGCGCCGACATCCTCGGGATGGCGTGGGCTGTCTCGGGCGCGGAGGGTTTTCATCCAGTCCCATTTATGCATTTTTTCTTATCCTCACCAGAGGACACTGTTTTCCATTGCTTTTAGAGAGGAGGGGTGGGGGGAGAGAAACATCAATGCAAGTGAGAAGCGTCAATGGCTTGCCGTATATATGGGCCCGGACCAGGGATCGAACCCTCAACCCTTTGATTTCAGAGTGACGTTCCTAACTACCTGAGCCACAGCGGCCAGGGCCAGTCTCACTTCTGAATGTCGATCCCTGAGTGTGTAGGGAGTATCTACGACTCCTTGGGCCGTATCTGGCGACACCCTTGCTCATCCTGGCTATGACCAGCTGTGGTCACCAGGCAGTGTGTGTCTGTCACTGGCCTCCCGCTTTTCGCCCCAGGCCAACAGTGGCCTTCTCAGCCTTTTCCCCTCTGTTCTCGCTCACTTTTCTAAGCGTGAAAGGGTCCCCAGAAGTATGTGTTGAGTGCAGCTAGGTCCCCATGGTGCCTGGCAGGAACCCGGTCACGCAACAGAGCACCAGGAGCTGCCGGAGTTCCGTGTCTGTTCCTGGAAACGGCCGTCCCTCCTGCGCCCTGTGCGCCAATACACAGGCCCCCCAGCAGGTCTCCCTGCTCTCTCTGGAGTTCAGATCCTGTTCAGGAAGGGCATTGCCAGTGAAAAGTCTCAAGGATTATTCCTCTTTCTAAAAACTTTATTTTCCTGGTCAACAGGCAAGCTTGGGAAGAACACTGATAATCGCACTTTGGGGGGGCCAGTCATAACAAAGGGACGAGCAAAGGAGCCTTGTGCCCTGTCCTCTGTGCCTTCCCAGGACAGGAGGGGCCCAGCCAGGGCTCCCTCGGTCCCACTGGCCGGCAACTTTGCTTCAAGACGGCCTGACCTCCCAAAGCGAGCAGTCCCTTCCCGCCCTCTGTGCATAGAAGTGGACATTGATAGAAACCCTAGACCAGCTCATTCTCTTCTGGGTGGGAAGCCATCCTCTTCAGCCCAGTTTTAGTGGGGCACCCGGTGCCTGGAGAAGACCGGACCCAGATGTGTCCCCCAGACGTGTTTGGGGGCAGAGGGGGAACCTGGGCTGTGGCGGGGCCAAGCCGACCACGCCGCCCTCGCGTGTGTTTCAGGAGGCCTGCGCAGCCCTGCTGGACCAGTGCCTACACTACGTGCAGGCCAGGGGCCCCTGCTACACCCCGAACAAGACCACAGGCAGCCTGAGCGTGGGCCTCTTCTCCCCGGTCTGCCCGCCCGCTGAGCCCACCGCCCCGGGCCCCTGCCCGAGCCTCGTGATCGACGGGAGGAGCCTGGCCTACGCCCTGGACAAAAACCTGGAGGACAAGTTTCTCTTCCTCGCGAAGCAGTGCCGGTCAGTCCTTTGCTGTCGCTCGACGCCCCTGCAGAAGAGCATGGTGGTGAAGCTGGTCAGAAGCAAGCTCAAGGCCATGACCTTGGCCATAGGTAAGTAGGCAGGCTGGCCCATCTCATGCACCTGCTTCCTCTCTTTGCTTCCTGAAGTTCCTACCCGTCCACGCAGCGCTATGAGTTGGGAAAACACTTCCTCGCTCTTTTTCTGTTTAGAAAGACGCCCCCAGTGCAGTAAAGCAGCAGCCTTTGCCAACAGGACACATAGATTAGAAAGCCACATGTATGTAGTGGCAGCAGTCATGCCACAGGTCAGGTCAGTCACACAGTCGCGGTTGGAGAAGGCAGAGCTTGCCGTGCTGCTGTTCCCTGGGAGGCCGGCTAGTGACGCTGCAGGCGCAGCACCAGCCCCTGCCCACGCCCATTCTGGAAGAAGGGCCTCTGCAGGTGGGTCTGGAGGAGCAGCCAAGGCTCTGTCCTGCCGGAAGGACACAGAAACTAATTAAATATACCTGTCGTAAGGCAGGAATAGTTTTCTTAGGGACGGGGCATCTGACCCTGGTTATTCCTTGCAGACTGCCACCGTGGAGAGCCCCGCGTGCTCCCCTGCCGTTCAGTTCTTCCTGATGCTCACCTGCCGCCTCCCAGGGCCGCATCCCCGCCCACATCAGGTTCAGGTCCAAGGCCAGCCTGGTCCAGGGACTCGGCAGCTCCACCTGCTGGTGAAGGCCGGAAAGTACCTCAGGTTGCTTTGAGAAGGGGGTGACTCCCTGTGACCCTAGGCATCCATTTGGTTTTCCTGTATGTAGAACCCACCCCTAGATGAGAGTTAGCTCTGCAGTAAAGCATTCCTATCCGTGATAATTCGAGTATTTTCCCCAAAAGGTCTGTGACAGCTGTCCTTGCTGACATGAGGATGGCCTCCCCATCACACAGAGTTGAGGCTAGTGGAGAACCTGGGTCTGAAACAGGGTGTGGCCTGAGTGTGGTTGTCATGGAGACCTTCCCTGCTTCCTTAACTGCTGAGGGGAGGGAGCAGGGCTCAGGCCTGAGCAGTGAGCACGTGTTCAGAGGGTCTCTCTGGCCCAGGCTGGGGGGAGATGGACAGCTCCTCCCAAGAGAGAGCATCTCAGAACCACCTCGCCCCTGTGTGCCTAGAGGGCCCTTCTGATGTCCCTGCGCAGTGTCAGAGGCAGGAGCCTAGGAATCTGCAGGCTGGGGCTGCGCTCTCTCCACTAACCTCGCTCCTTGGAGCATCTGCTGGGAGGTCTGGTGTGTACCTCGGATGACAGACCTCGTTTGCACGGCCTGGCTCAGCCACCCAGTAACAGATGAGAGTGTTCGTTTAAGAAAATGCAGCCTTGGGTGGTGGGGCTCAGTGAATTGACTGCGGGCCTGCGAACCGAAGGGTCAGCTGTTCGATTCCCAGTCGGGGCACATGCCTGGGTTGCAGGCCAGGTCCTCAGTAGGGGGCATGAGAGAGGCAACCCCACACTGATGTTTCTCTCCCGTCTTTCTCCCTCCCTTCCTCTCTCTCTGAGAATATTTTTAAAGGGAGGAAAGAAAATGCAGATAAAGCCTTGGCTGGTTAAACAGAAAAGAAAAAAAGAGAATTTTAAAAGAGAAAGGAGGGACCCACGAAAACTTCAGCTCATTTCTCTGTGAGTCAGAGCATCAATGTGACCTAGTCTCTAGTGTCCAAAGATTAATAACAGAGAACAACGTTGTCCATTATCACTCATTTTGAACATGGGACATTCTGGGGAAAGCTGCGGTGAGTGTTACTGCTTCATAGAATTTCAGTTCCATCAGCGTTGGCTCATCACCCACCTTGGGCCCAGAGCAATAAAGCCTAGAAAACTCATGGGAGAGAGACGCCCGGTGGCCGGCTGCTTGATGAGTCATTGGACTCTGTGTATCCGCACCACTGTGTATTTGCAACTTGTCACTCCGTAATTTGGGTCCGTCTGGTGTCCCGTTTGGAGAATGGTCACTAGCACTGAGTGACAATGGCAGAGTCTCTGGGTGCCTCTCCCTGAAAGTATCAGCAGCCCTCACCCATGCCTTGCATGGCTAAACATTTCCTATCAGCGCCTTGGCTGAGTGAGTAGAAGTTCTCCTTGACGGGACCACAGAGGGCGCAGCGGTGAGCACGGCGCTTATTCAGCTCGCAGGAAGTCAGGGTGCCAAAAAGATCTCAGCTGTGTCTTGGGCAGAATTTGCCCTCCATTCGGTGTAGGGAGGCACCCAGGTATGTGTGCCCTGGGGTAGCCCCGAGGTGGTATCTGTATGATGAAGACCGGGGCCGTTCAGGAAATAAAGCCGATGCAGGTGAGAGCATCTTTCACAGCCAGACACCACGTGGAGGGCTCTAGCCACGTAGGAGCCGGTAATCCAGCCTGAATGCTAAATAAAGCAGTAGGCACTCCAGCCTGCTCTCCAAAACCCCTCTCGGCGTGGCTGGTGGTTCCAGACCTCACCCCGTGGCCTGACTCACTTCTCTCATAGCCTGTCCTTGCTCTTCCCTGGACCCTTTCACGGAACTCGGCCCAGTGGGGCCCCCATGAAGATCTGTCTGGCCAGTTTCATTCTGTGTGTCTGGGCTCAACTGATCCTCCCCGCCTGTGCTGTTCCTAGGAGACGGAGCCAATGATGTCAGCATGATCCAGGTGGCCGACGTAGGCGTGGGGATCTCAGGCCAGGAGGGCATGCAGGTAAAGACCCATCGGGGGGCTGTCCTGGGTGACCCTGCGGCCTACCGGCACGTCTTCCTGGGGGCCTCTGTCCAGCAGAGCTGAAGGGTCAGCATAGCTGACGTTCACCCTCCGCTGAGACCGTTGTAAAGGGTGAGGTGCAGGTGACGGCGTATCGATGAAGCCACGTGTGGGAGATATTCTTGCAAAGTAAGGAGAACCGAGGGACAGAGTCGCCACCTTCTCTGGCTGTTATGCCTCGTCTTCGGGTGGTATTTTTTACGTTTCTGCACACGAGCGACACCATCCGGAAACCGGACTCTGCTATTGTCGGGGTTGGTGTCAGGATGACATGGGATGTGGCCATCGTGACCCGTGAAATGTCCTCCCTGCCCTTCTCCTCGGTCACTGTGTCGTCTTGACCCGTGCTCCAGACACCGAACAAATGAGTTCATGTCACATGTGCTGCTTTTGGCCCGGGCTGGGAGGCTGTGCTGGTTGAAGCGTCACCCCAAACGTACATCAAGAGGCTGCAGGTCGGATCCGTGGTCAGGTCGGATTCCCGGTCGGCGTGCATGTGGGAGGCTGTCTCTCCCCCCTTCCTCTCTCTCGGATCAGTAAACGTCCCCTCTGGTGAAGATATGTTTTGGATGGAGTCATTTCAGCCATTTCCGACATTTGATTAACCTCTAATCACAGTATTGTTTAATTTGGTGGAGGCTTTCGGGAATAATATGTGCAGGCTGCTGCTTTTAAAAAAGCAGAGTGCGGCTTCCAGTCAGTCACTGGCCGAGCCCTTGGTCGGTGCAACCAGCCAGTCACTGCGTCGACCACGCACTGGGGCCGGGTCTGGGCTGGGCTGGGCAACTTCACTGGACACAACAGTGGCGGTCAGATGGGAAGTCCGGAGCCAGGGGCACAGCGGCTCCCCCTTGAGCCTGTCTGACTGGAGCTGCTGTGTTAGGTCACCCATGTGTTTCTGTCCCTCCGTTAATTGGACATAGGGTACAGGCAGGACTCTTGCTCACCTCTCCCCAGAGCCGTGCGCATGGGGGAAGGTCAGGAAACATGAGTGAATGAACAAAATAGTTCATTCTTCCTGACTTTTAATCCTCACCCAGGGAATGTGTATTGGTTTTTTAAAGATTTTATTTATTTATTTTAGGGAGAGAGGAAGGGAAGGAGAAAGAGAGAGAGAAACATCAATGTGTGGTTGCCTCTTGTGCTCCCCCTGCTGGGGACCTGGCCCACAACCCAGGCCTGTGCTCTGATTGGGAATCGAACCGGCGACCCTTTGGTTCACAGGCCTGCGCTCAATCCATTGAGCCACACCAGTCAGGGCTGGTTATTGATTTTTTTAGAGAGAGAGAGAGAGAAACATTGATCTGTTCCCTCTCATATGTGCCCAGACTGGGGTTTGAACCCAGAGTCCTGGCGTATGTGGGTTCAATCCCCAGTCAGGACCCATAGAAGAGCCAACCCGTGAATGCGTCAGTAAGTGGAACAACAAATTAATGTTTCTCCCTCTCTCTTTCTGAAATCAATACATTAAAAAATTTTAAAGAAGCTATTGAACTACAAAAAGAAAGTGAAATAAAGGCAAACATTGTTTTTTAAATCCATCGGTTACAAATATTAGAAATCTGACACGAGGCCTAGCGTGGGACACCCCTGAACTACGGGACCTGAAGGAATGGAACCTTCTTCAGTCGACGGAGATAATGAGAGAGGCCGGTGAAACCAGCCTTGGCCCGTCTCACACACACTGGGCTGCTCCACCCGTGTTCCACTTTGTGTCTGGGGGGATAAGACAGACGTTGGGAAGAGGGGCCTCCAGTAACAGAAGTCCTCTCCCCTTCAAGGCAGTGATGGCCAGCGACTTCGCGGTGCCCAGGTTCCGCTACCTCGAGAGACTCTTAATTGTTCACGGGCACTGGTGCTACTCCCGGCTGGCCGGCATGGTGCTGTACTTCTTCTACAAAAACACGGTAGGTGTCAGACGCCGCTGGTCTCTGAGGTTTGTGTGCAAAGGCCTGAGCGGAGACTTAGGGGACCGTTCGGCAAATGCAGGCCAGCCTGCAGCCTCCTATGGGGGCCGTCCTCCTTGAACTTCACCAGTGAACCCCCTCACCTGGCCTCTGGGCTCAGACGTCTGTCTCTCGGGCACACACGGGCGGCCGCATCTCACAGGGAGAAGGTTGTGGAGAAAGGTAGATCGTTCGAGCATGTCCGCTTTGTAACGAGAAGTGGAGTAACCCTGAGGTCCCCGGGTCTGCAGGAGGCCCTGTGGCTAGCACAGCCAAGGCCACGTTTATCCCCAGTCCCTGGAACTCTGCCTCCTAAGTTCCCAACCGCCGAGGTGATGTGTGTCTCAGGAGCAGGCCGCTGATGTGGCCACAGACGGGCGCGCCCTCGCCCGTGCTTTTTGTAGAGCAGGTGGGGGGTTGGTGACCAGCAGCAGTGTGCCCAGTGGTCCTGCATTCAGCTCGAGAGTACTCAGTCCCACTGCCACTGTCAGGTTGAACGGCACCCCCACGGCAGGCTGGGAGTGTACGTCAGAGGCGGGGCACAGGCTCGGCTCTAGAAGGAAGGGGACCACCTGCAGGGTCTGGTCATGCTGTCCCCTCCTGGCCGGCTCAGTCTCAGGGGACCCTTTGGTGAGGTCGCGCCCGGCCAGCAGAGGTCAGCTCTGTCTGCAGAGGCTGTGCCCTGGGGCCTGGTCCAGTTCGTGCTGGTCCTGCCATGTGACTCCTAGTCTCTGCATTACTGAGCCCTGGGCTTACCATCCATAGCCCACGGGAGGGACACGTGGCCAGTCCAGAACCCTGCTCTGCTTGTAAGGGGGGATGGAGGGCCTCCTGAGGAGCTGCTCCCTGGCCTCCAGCCCCTGATTTCTGCGGCCGGACAACAAACCCGGAGACAGAATAACTAAACATGTAGGAGACGCGACCTTGCAGAGTAGCCCCGCAGGTCCACCCCTGCAGACTGGAGACTACGGCTCCGGTGTGAGACCATCCTGTGCTCTTCTGAGAAGGAGTCATGTGCAATAATACCTGGGAAGGCCTACGTCCTGCTTTATTTTCCTGATTCCAGGAAGAACGTCTCCACGCTGACTCTAGGCTGTCAGTGCACCTCTTGTTCGTGTTCCTAATTCTTTGTTCTCGGATTCGGTCTATTTCCCTCCGCCCTCCCACCCTGCGCCCTCTCCCCCGCAGCCGTCGGTTTTTTTGAAAGGTCGTCTAGCAAATGAATACAGATGCTTGAGACCAACCAGGGCAAGTCTAACCGGACAGGCTGGGTTCTGGAAATTAATTCCAATTAGCTTCTTCTGCCTGCAGCTCTGTCCGAGGAAGGCTGTCCTGCGAAGGCTGTCCTGCAGCCGCCCGATGACGCTCCCGAGGCTTCGCACACTCAGCTGCAGACCTCGGGGTCCCCGGCTCCCAAGGGGGGGTGCTTTGAGTGAGGGCGAGCGGGGCTGGGGGGTGGAACCAACCCTGTGTCTGTCACTCATTATTCCTACAGTCTGGAGCAAGTCGTTGGCTGTCAATGGATTTGGGGTTTTCTTAATCCAAAAACAAATCACAATTCCCAATGAAAGTGGCCCAGCCTGCGGGGAAGGGCAGCCAGCGGTTCAGATGCAAGTGGGGGGCTCGGGAGCGGGCAGCGGGCAGGCCCCTGGCTGGCACGAGGGAGCTGTCCTCACAGAGGGCACAAGGGCAGGAAGGACATCGCTCCCGGTTTTATTCCACAAACAGTGCAAGGCCTCTGTTAACAAGCACTTGATCTACTTGAGAAGTTCAAGGATAATCAGTGTGCCTCCCAAAATGAGAAATTGTTTTAGGAACAAATTGGCCTTCCTTTAGAATAAAGAGGAGAGACGTTTCCATAGCAACAGTGGTTTGGGAAGAGAACTCCTGGTACCGCAGGGAAGAAAAATCTCGATTACCCTGGTACTTCCCCTCGTTTCTCTCGGTGCCGCTTGCTCACTGATGACTCTCGGGGCCGCCGAGCCTGTGGCTGTGGGCGGGAGAAAGGCCGGCGTGGGAGTGAGGCCAGGGAGAAAGTCGATGAGAAAGGCACTGTGTCTGTCCATCTTCAGCGTAGAAGGGGAAGGGTGCTTCCCATGGTGGGCGGGACTGGGGCTCGGATGGTGATGGAGTTGGTCACTCCATACATAGGCTGTCACGTTGTGTGACCTTCAGGGCAGGCCTTCAGTGTGTCTGGTCAGCACGCGGAGGCTCAGAGAGGTTGAGTGACCCGGTCAAGGGCAACACGGTAGGCAGTGGCAGCTCCAGACCAAAGCCCAGGCCGGGGTCTGTGGTGGCCAGCCAAGGATTTGCTTTCACCGTGACCCCTCCCTCTTGGGCCGGGCCACGCCCTCCAGGCCAAGCCCCATGAGCAATGGAACAGATTGGGTGTGTTACCCATATAGTGGCCACAATGGGGTCATTTGAGATGAGGGACCTCAGTTTCCTGTTCTCTGAACAGGGGGGACCGCACGGCCCCACGGAGCCTCAAAGGAAATGAGGGTACTGTCAACAGTAAGAACGGAAAGTGTGGGTCAGCTCCCGCTGGGTGCAAGGGGCTCTCTGAGGCCTTTAGGTGCACGCGCTCGTTCACCCTCACGGCAGCCCCGTGGCTAAGGGGCGCTGCTCTGTGCCCGGTCCGTAGACAGGGACAGGAAGCAGGAGGGGTTCGCTGGCCTGGGCCGAGCTGCCTGGTTCGTCGAGGTAGGAATGCTTTTTGATTGTTGGACTGCTGTGCAAGCCCCTCATATAAAAGCGTCAGGCCACTGGCATTCAGTGGTCAGGCAGCGGTGGGAAGAGACCCGCCCAAACCCTCCTCTGTGGCGCGTGGGCTGGAGGGGGCTGTGGGGCTCCCCGACCCTCAGTTTCCTGCTGGCATAGCTGGGGGGCGGGGGGAGCGTAAGGACCAGCGATAATGCCTGCAGGTCACCCGCCAGCCGAGGGCACGGCGGGTGCCAGCACTCGGCCGTGGTGAGCCACATTGCCATCGTCGACCTTGCTGCTGAGCCTGTGTGGGTGTCCCCACAATGGGAGTCTCTGGTTACTCGCTCTTCCTCCTCCCAAGGGTACGTCGCTGCAGAGGGAGGCAGCATCTCGGGCACGTGGCACAGGTGGGTTCAGTTTAGGGCCACGGAGGAGGGGTATGAGCGAGGCAGCCGAGGGTGACTCCCCCGGTCCCCTGCAAGTGTGAGCTGGCCAGGCGTTTGCTTTTCAGGGAATGAATGACCTGTGGCTTATCCGTGGCAAGGCCTCAGTGCTCCGAGGGCCGCTCCTGGGGATTCCGCAGCCCACCCCTTGTGCTCAAGGGCAGGCGGAGGGCCCTGGAGGAGAAAGAGGGGGTACCGAGAGCACCTAGTTAGAGCTGCCTTGGAGGAAGCCACTGCCCGTAAACTCAGCCTTTGCAGCCGGGCCCTGCAGACCCGCAGGCCCCTCGGATGAGGCTCCGAAAGGGCATCTGGGAACCGCCTGCTCCCCGTCCTCCTCTCTCGGTTTCAGATGTTCGTGTGCCTCCTGTTTTGGTTCCAGTTCTACTGTGGCTTCTCCGCGTCCGCCATGATCGACCAGTGGTATCTGATCTTCTTCAACCTGCTCTTCTCGTCGCTCCCCCAGCTGGTGACTGGGGTGCTGGACAAGGACGTGCCGGCGCAGGTGCTGCTGGCGGAGCCGCAGCTCTACAGGGGCGGCCAGAACCGGGAGGTGAGGTCCTCCCGCCCCGCCCCGGCCACTCGTTCATTCCCCTCCTGGAAAGCGCGAGTCCCCAGGCCTTCCCGGGTCCAGTTCTTCAAGTTCTGTGTCATCGTAAGAAACAGGCCTGTAGGGAATTTTTATTTGCGCCAAACTGACAGCAGTTGCTGGGAAGAAAAACCTCGACAAGTTGAGAAAATGCTCCAGAGAAGGGCTGTGTTGCACCTTATTTTGTACATTATAATCAAAAGTGGAGGCAGAAGAGGCTTACGTGAAGGCCATTGGTGATAGAGCAGGGAGGCCGGAGGAAGCAGAGGGAAGCTTCTGGGCTCGGGTGAAAGGTAAAAGGATGGACACACACTTCTTTGAGGCAGGTGGGCACAGGTCAGTGAGTAGTCAACAATGAATGCGATCATAATTACAGCAGGGGGATTTGTAATCTCCCTCTGGTGAGGGGGCTGTGCCCCAAGGGGTCCGGAAAAAGGACGTTACCTTTATTCCAGAGGTTTGTCATTGTAGGTGAAGAAACACCATATATGGCTCAGTTAAGGTAAAGATTGACCTTTGCCAGGGGAGATTCCAGCCTGGGGCACAACTACCTGCCATAAACTGCTGATAGTTACTGAGTTTTCATTTCAGACCATCCTGTGCGGTCTCACTGGTCTCCAGGTTTGCAAAGCTGGCTCGCCTCAGGCCTTCCCTGAATGGCTCCGGCTTAGTGGCGTCCCTTCCCGCCCATGTCTAGAATCCGACCAGTGAGAGAAGAGAATGAATTCTGTCCACTTGACTGTGCTTTGTGATTGGTGGTGCGAGGTGATGGGCATGGTGGTGGTGTCAGTTTTGTGCATGTGTCCAGACTCATCAAGATGTGTACAATGAATGTACACAGTGTTTTTGTGTATTTATTGACCTCAGTAAAACTTTAAAAGGAGGATTTTTTAAAATTAAATTTTATTTAGGTACTTTTTAAGTAAATTTTTTTGTTTTATCTATTTCTCCCATCCCACCCCACCCCCCCCACCCGGTCTCCCCCCTCCCCTAGTCTTCATCCCTGTGTCTTTCATACTTGTTCCTCAAAAAAAAAGGAGGATTTTTTTTAAGTATAATGGGCTAGAAACTATCCCCGCACTAGAGTTTCCAGTCAAGTGGGTTCAAGAAAAACAGCTGTGATTTTTAGTTCGGGACTTCCCATCTGATTGTTATTGTATTTTACTTTTTTTAAGTTATTGCTCATTTATTTTTTAGACAACAGGAAAGAAAGGGGGAGAAATTAGAAGTTGTCTCTTGCAGGCTCCCAACCTGGACCCCCCACCTGCAACCCAGGCACGAGTCCCAACCGGGAATCCAACCAGCAACCCTTCCTCCAAGCAACTGAGCCACCCCCGCCAGGGCTCTGCCTGTTATTTTACTGTCCAGTAATCTCAGTCAGTCACCGTGATAGTGGCCGCTGGAGCGGGGATTATTTTCCTAAAACAACCTCTCCAAAATGGGACTTATTTTGCAAGGGAATTCACAGGAAGATAAACCCACAGGGAAACTGTTGAAAGAACCAGTGGATACAAACAGATGTAAATACAAGTAAATATGCCACGTGGATCAACACGCTAATTACCAGCTCTTCCTAGCCAGCCATCAGAGCGAGCCTTGGAAGGGCCGCTCGTCAGCTGGCTGGAAGGATCACGTGTGTGCAGAGGGAATGGGGCTCCACAGCCCCCCCAACAGTCTCTGGTTCGGAATTTGCGTACGAGCCAGCTGACTTCCCCACATCACCTCTGTTGACGGTGGTGGGTTCCCTCGGAAGCCGGCAGCACAGGGTGGGGGCGACTCCCGGCAGGCAGGTGAGGATGACCCCTGCGTGTACCTGTCACCTGGGGCAATTCCTGTACTCAGCTGGGCCTCGTCTGCCCCACTATGGGACCAAGACGGGCAACTTAAGCCAACAGGAAGGGCCCAGGCGGCACCTTCCCAAGTGCTTAGGACATGCCCCTCCAGTCTGCTCTGGAACTCACAGGGTCAAGTTCATGTAGTCACCCAGACAAGTCTTTTCTTTTCTCCGGTGGCGGGCTGGTGGGTGTTGGTGGTTGATCAAACATATTCTCAGATGAGGATTTTTAAAGAAAGAAACCTAGGGAGGGAAAATGCTGACAAAGGAGGAGCAGAACTCAGTCATATTGAGGGGGGAAGCCCCCAACTCCCCATAGCACCCCAGAAGGTCTGCAGAGGCCTGCCCTCCCCTGTAACCGCCTTCTTGTGTCTCAGGAGTACGGGCCCCGCACCTTCTGGTTAAACATGGCCGACGCCGCCTTCCAGAGCCTGGTTTGCTTCTTCATCCCTTACCTGGTAAGTTGGTGCCTGGCCCAGTCGCCCCCTCGGCTCCGTTGGCGGCCCGCAGACCCAAGACACCGCTGTCTTTCAGGCCTACTACGACTCAGACGCGGACATGTTCACCTGGGGCACGCCCATCACCGCCATCGCGCTCTTCACCTTCCTGCTGCACTTGGGCATTGAGACCAAGACCTGGGTAAGAGCTCCGGGCCCCTCACGTCCACGCAGGTCTGCGAGATCTGGAAGGTGCCAAGCAAACGGGACGGTAAAGCCGGCCTCACTGGGGCAAGAAAGGAGATACGTGCACAGGCCGCAGCCCGTGCCCCGCACTCCTGGGCAGCCCGCAGCTCCTTCCTGCCCTTCTCCGACTTAAGCACCTGCTCTTCTTCCCCTGATGCCCTGAATTCCGTCTGCCCACCTGCGTCCAGGCTGGTCTGCAGGCTCCCAGGCTGCACCACCACCTCCCGGTCCCCAGACCTCTGTTCCCACTGAGCCCTTAGATCCCAAGGGGTGTCCAGCCTGCGGCCCGCGGGCCACATGCAGCCCAGGATGCTATGAACTCGGCCCAACACAAAATCGTCAATTTACTTAAAACCTGATGAGATTGTTTTTTGTGATTATGTGTCACAGTGTATTTAATGTGGGGCCCAAGATGACGACTGTCCTTCCAGTGTGGCGCAGATGCCACGAGGTCAGGCAGCCCTGCCCAGGGCGGCGGCGGGCACGGCCACTGGTGACCCTCGGTGTCTTTGCCCTCCCCGCCCAGACCTGGCTCAACTGGACGGCTTGTGGCTTCAGTGCCCTCTTGTTCTTCTCCGTGGCTTTGGTCTACAACGCCTCCTGTGCAACGTGCTACCCTCCGTCCAACCCGTACTGGACAATGCAGACGCTTCTGGGCGACCCTGTGTTCTACTTGATTTGTCTTATAGCGCCGGTCACTGCACTGCTGCCCAGGTGGGTGTCAGGGACGCTGCCCCCGGAGTCCTCCGGGAGTTTAGGGGACGAATCTCAGATAGCTCCTCCGAGGCAAAACCCCGCAGCAGGGGCTGACTGCGCTGTGTGTGCTCTTTCCAGGTTGTTTTTCAAAGCCCTGCAGGGGAGCCTGTTCCCCACCAAGCTCCAGCTGGCTCGCCAGTTGGCCAAGAGGTGCCCCAACAAACTCCGTTCTCCCCAAGAGACTCAGGGACCCCTCCGGGGAGAAGCGAGGCCTGAACCCTCAGAGCAGAGTTGCATCAGCGTCTCGGGGCCCGTCTCCCAGAACTGCACCCCACAGGAGTCTTGGCACTCGGCCTGGCCCCCCGGCTCCCCAGAGGCCAGCGAGGGGGCCAGCGTGGCGCACGTGAGCATCCCTCTGAGGGGCGCGTTGGACAGTCGGGACTCGGGGTCCTCCGGGCCCCAGGAGGCTGCCCTGGGGACGTGTCCTGGGGACCCCAGAACGAAAACCCCCAGCACGAGCAGGGCAGCCTCCCTCTCGTCCATCTTCGGCCTCTCCAGCTTCAGCTCGCTCAGCTGGATTTCCTCCCTGTCCTTGGTCAGCGGCCTGGGGAGTGTCTTCCAGTTCCCCCGGGGCGGCTTACAGGCGGACAAGCGGGAGGCCGAGTTCCTGCCCAGGCCCCCGCGGCCGCTGCGGGACCAGGACCTGTGTGGCCCGGGCAGGCCGGCCACCGACAACTTCTAGGGGCCTCGTCCAGGGCGGCGGAGACCGTAAAGTAGCCTTTTTGTTTTTATAACATAGATACTAATTTTATTTATGTTTCTTATTTGCACAGAGGAGTTCTAGTGAGGTGTATTTTATATGTTTCCAGGGCTTGTGCTGGAAATAAGAGGTACCAAAAGAAAAAACCCCAAAGTTTATTTTTTAAAAGTTCTAAGTAGAGTATATTGCAAAGGAAAAGTCAGAGCTTTATTGTATATAAAAGTTGAAAGAGTGACCTTTGAAAAGTGTGTTTAGATTTGTTATTTTTTTTCCGTCTCATTTTGTGAGAAAATGCGGTGTGACGGGTTTGGTCCCTCGGGTGAGCGTGGCAGGGCCCGCTCGTGACCCCGGCTGCAGGTCCCCTACAGTCTGTCCCCGATCTCCACAGTTGGGAGGGCGGGGGCTCCATGTCACCCACAGAAGGGAAAGGGAGACCTCAAAACAAAACGCTTGGATGAAGTTCACTGCCACGTTCAACCCTACGACGGGCATTTCGTGAAGATCGCCTTGGGGGTTCCCAGTCCCTATGCGGGGTCTGGCCTGTCAGAATCAACACAAGCGATAAACAAGCCTCACCTTGCAGAGAGAGCGTGTGACATTGTGACTGCGCAACCCAACAGAACACGCCTGAGCACCCGGGGGCACATCCTCACGGTGCCGCCTTTCAGACGCCCTGCGGGAATGGCCTCGCTCCAGAGCCGCAGGCCACCCTTAGTTGGCCTTTTGTGCTTTCTGCAAGGCCGACTCTGTGACATTCCAAGCAAATTCTTTTTTTTTACCATTGAAAGTAGTATTTCCAAGCCAATAATTTTAGAAGTGGTTGATTTTTTTGCCCAGGCTGGTGAGGCTCAGTGGGTTGAGTGCCAGCCTGCAAACCAAAGGATCACAGGTTCAATACCCAGTCAGTGCACTTGCCCAGATTGTGAGCCAGGTCCCCAGTAGGGGGCATGTGAGAGTTTCTCTCTCTTTCTCCCTCCTTTCCCCTTTTTCTACAAATAAATAAAATAAAATATAAGTCACTGGTTTTTAATTTTAGAGATTTTTGACTCTGCATCTCGCCTTTTAAAGTAACAAGAAGTGATCATTATTATTAATAATAATAATAAATAACACAATACACTAGTTCCAGCAAATAATCCATATGCAGAGAAATGCAAAAATGTTCAGGCAGTGGGGTTCAGCCGTTGTACTTCTCAGGTGAAGCCATGAATTGAGGAGAATTGGCCAAGGGTCAGGGTTAGTATGTCTTGAATTTGAAGTCATCAGTTGTTATTTTAACTTTTTTATTGATTTTTTTAAAGAGACATGGATCTCTTGTTCCCCTCACTGAGGCACTCACTGGTTGACTGCAGTATGTGCCCTGCCCAGGGATCAAACCTGCAGCCTTGGTGTGTATCGAGATTACACCCTACCCCACTGAGCTGCCCGGCCAGAGCTTCGTCAGTTGTTATTTTAAACAGAAGCCCACACACTGGGGAGCATACGAAGTGTGCAGAAACACTTAGCCAGCTTCTTCCTCTTCTTGGACTCTCTCTGTGTGGCAGCTCAGGGTCTGTGACCCAGAATCTGGGCTCTCGGGGGGCGAGCGGGGCGGGCAAGTGGCTGCAGTTGTTTCTCTGGAAACATTCTCAGGTTCTGACCCCGAGTCTGGGACACCTGCGCCTCAGCGACCCCGGGGGACACCTGCCCTCCAGACTTGCTGATGGATCAGGGCTGCTGAGCACAAACCCCACAGCTCCCAAGGAGAGCGTCCCAGACTGGGGGGCATGTGCTGAGGCCGGTTTGTCCCTGCATGTGGGTTTTTATTTTATTTTTTCATCAATCTACTAAGACTGACGTCCCAGGGACAACTGACCCCCCTGTCCTTGCATCACGCACCTTAACAGCATTGCTGGCGCTCGTGGTATCACTGAAGCGCATGCGCAACCCGCCCGGTGGGCCTTCACGCCCCGCCGTCTCCCTCTGCGCCTGCGCGGGAGGGCCACGTCAGGACAGCTCAGTGCTCCGATGGGGCGGGCTGAGGATCCCGAGGGACGTGAGGGCTGCATCTTGCACAAGGACCCACAGGGGGAAGCGTGGCTGCCCACCTTCCTTCTGTAAATACCAGGGAAGGAGCTCTCGCTATTTCAAGCACTTACTATTCTTGAGAGTTTCCAGTGTGGCGACCACCAAAATGAGCCAAGCCAGCAAGTGAGGGGCTGCCAGCCGTTGCCCGGGCGACAGTCACAAAGGGCAAAGCAGGCCCTTGAAAGTCTCCGCACCCCAACCTGGAGGAGCCCCAGCTCGTGCCTGGCCAGGAAGGCGCAGACCCCCATCCTGCTGTGGCCACGTGGTCCTAAAAGTCTCGTGGGAACTGAGCTCTGAAGGGACATCAGTGTTCTTAGAAACCGAGGAAGGGGTCATGTGCAGAGGGGGCCGCTTGGACAGCAGTGTATCTCTTTTGCCACTAACGTGTAGCCGTGACCCCTTGGGGTGGCCCAGGAGTGGAAGACTGGCCAGGCAGACCCCGGGATGCTCCATCCCTGCTCTGTTGGTAACGTGCCCCCAGGAGTGACGCGCTCCTGTCCAAGTGCTTAGAAGGGCAGGCTCTCCACCTCTGCCCAGAGCAGGGCAGGGCCTGAGCGTGAACCGCCTGTGCACGCCGGGCGCAGGGGAGCAGCTGCCTCTCCACAGCCCACCCTCCCTGTGGGTACCAGGGTTACGAGGCCCCCTCGTGGCCGAGTGCTGACGGACACCCTCAACACCTGGGGTACCACCAATGGGAGGCTTGTTCTGTGTTTTCCTTGCCCCTGGTTCCCACTGAGAGAGGATGTCTCCTTTGCAATAATCAGACAAGACAGACAGAGTAAGCACATAGATATTTCTCAGGCTTTGACATTTTCTTATGATTTTATTTATTTTTGGAGAGGGAAAGGGAGGGAGGAAGAAGGAGAGAAACATCAATGTGTGGTTGCCTCGGGCGCACCCCCTGCTGGGGACCTGGCCCGCAACCCAGGCATGTGCCTTGACTGGGAACAGAACCCACCACCCTTTGGTTCGAAGGCCGGTGCTCAGTCCACTGAGCCACACCAGCCAGGGAAGGCTTTGACCTTCCCAGACAAAAAAACAGGCACCAATTCCAGCAGCTTCGTGGTGTGGGAAATGCGAGCTGTTCCAAACACACACAATTCACTGGAGCATTTATAAGCACATGCCATAAACGGGGCTCCATATGGGTGTCCCTTGAAAACTCAAATGTTTTTAGAGATTACAGAAAAGTCCTTATTTTTGTCTTTTCTGATTGAAACATGCCCTGGAAGTAGAATCATGCAATTCTACTGCTGAAAATAATATACTCATATTTTTAAAAAGGAAGTGTAATATTACATGCCACTGTGTGAAGAAGGAATGTGATTCTTGGCTACACCTAAAAATTCAGCTGCCTAGTTATTCCTTACAGGGAGCCACAGTGACGCATTCTAAAACACGCAGCCCTTCTGCTGGGTGCACAGAGCCAGGCCACCTTCCTGGGCTCGGGGACAGGTCCTGGCAGCCTCACACCCGACCCGAGTCCCAGGGACACCTGGCGCCCCCTGCCTGAGCATGCAGATAGCATCAGAAATCATTTGGCGTTTTCCACTGCACAGGTCAGAGCCCAGCCGAGCCGCTGGTGCTCAAGATGCACTGCACGCAGTGCGTAAAGACCTCCTAGGGCCCTCGGGAGCCCGGGCGGGAAAGGGAGCTTCGTGGAGTGCGTGGCTCTGAGCTATTTTTGGCTCTGGCCTGCTGCTGCTGCTGCTGCTTCTGCTGCTGCTGCGCACAGCTTCCTGCTGCGCATGCTGCAAAAGTAATGAGGGCAACCGCCTCTCCCGCGGTTCCTTGTTCTCTCTCCGCTCTGACGGGGATTCCCAAACCCAGCCGGGGGTCGAGATCAAAGAGGTCCCAACCCAGGGCTATGGAGAGGTTTCTTTAAATAAAGATGCAGCCTTGAAGGTAATGGTCCCATGTTTTCCTGAATAGATAGACGATGTTGCAGATATCATAATCACCTTTGACAAAAGCATTTCCTTACATTCTTAACCGGTAAAGCACAGCAGAATAGTAAGCCTACTCCAGGAAAATGAGGAGGAGGGGGTGTCCCAGGCGAGAAGGTGAATGTAAGTAATGCCTGGGCAGGCTTTCAAAAACTGTCCCCCAGCCCCCCCACACACACACACAGGACAGTGAACGCTCTGTCGTGTGGCTTTAATGATTTAAAATAGACATGATTTAATTTGGTTCTCTTGAAACAGGCAGCAAATTTTGTCCATGCAACAACCTGGCACTGTCCTGGCGGGGTGGCTCAGTGGGTTGGAGCACCCTCCCGGACACCAAAAGGTCATGGGTTTGGTCCCTGGTCACGGTGCATCCCTGGGTTGGGGGTTCAGTCCCTGGTTGGGGCGTGTGCAGAAGGCAACTGACCGGTGTTTCTCACGTCGATGTTTTCCTCGCACTCTTCCCTTCCTCTCTCTCTAAAATCAATCAACATATCCTTGGGTGAGGATTAAACAACAATAATAAAAACGAATCTGGTTCGTAGGTGTTGGACAGCAGCAGCATCTAAATAAATTTTACAAACATTTTTCATCTCTCACCATCTGTACGCTTGGAAGCGTACCGTCTGGGAAGAGGGGATAAAAATCCAGGTCCTTTGGGGGGAAAACATCAAGGAGAAAAGGGTGCTGTGCTTTGCACTGGAGCAGAGACACGCTGCTGCTGCCATGGATCGGAAGAGCTCGGGAGGCTAGAAGTGGGACTAAACTCACTGCAGCCTCCTAGTCTGTTTCTAAGGCCCTCACTCCCTGCCTTACTGTCTCTCCCTATTATTCCGAAGTCATCTTCGTTTCCAGTGCGTACAATGCCAAGAATGGCTCACCGCAGTTACTTAGTTTGCAGATAGTGTCCCTGCGGTGTGACCGACGCCTTTAGAAAAGGGAGACACACCCAGAGGAACTCAGCCCTCCCAAGGGGCTTGGGATTGAAAGGGAACGGAAGACACAAAGGGTCGGTGACATCACGGTGGCTGCCTTTGTCCTTGGGAGCAGGGAAGCGGGCGGAGAGCAGCTTCCAGCACACCCCAGACACCCTGGTGAGAGGGTCCTCACCCGCCCCCCTCCAAGCCCCTGACCTTCTTTCTCCCTCCTGCCAACTGCCATGGGGCCAGTTTGGGTCGGTTTTCACCAAGGAAAAAAGGGACCCAAGTGTCACCCTGGCCCAGGGAGAAGCCCCCCTCCGAAGAATCTCTCCACGCCCCTCCCACCAGTAATTGCCACACCCCTCCCTTCAGTGGGCCAAGGACCCAAGGCCAGACTTGC